AAATTTTTAGTTTTAACTTTTATATATAATAAACTTTAAGTTTTTAAAAGCTATAATATTATTATAAAGGGCTCCTCTTTATTTTTTTTTATTAAAGGTTTTATTACCTCCTTTATATTTTATTTTTAGTTTTTATATTTTTTTAAATTTATTTAAATATATTAATTTAAATTATTTAAGTAATTTTAACTATTTTATTTTTAATATTTAATAATTTTAAAGTATATTTAATTTAAATTTTAAGAAAATTTAACTTTATAATTTAAAATAAAATTTAACTTTAAAATTATTACTTTTAACTTATTATTTTAACTTTAAGGTTTTAAAATATTAATAAAAGATTAAAAATCTTAATTTTCTTATTAATAAGTAAAGTTAATTAAGTTTTAAATAATTTTAAAAATATTTTAAAATTCTTTTAAAATTATTACTAAAAGTTTTAAATTTATTCTATTTATAATAGTTAAATATAAACTTATCTTTTTCTTTTAAATTTTATATAAATATTTTAATAGTTTTAATATTTTTATTAATATAATTAAATATATATATTATTTTTATTTTATTATTATAAAAGGATTATAATTAAAAATAAAGATTTTTTAAAGTTTATTATTTAATTATTATATTATTATAAAGTATAAATTATAAATAATAAAGTAATATTAACTAATTTTAAGTTTTTAATTTAATTTTTAAAATAATTTTAATTACTTTAAAAATATTTATCTTTATTAAAAGATTTAATTTTACTTTTATTTTTAAATAAAGATATTACTTATTAAAAAATATTTAAACTCTCCTTAATATTATTTAAATTAATTTAGAACCTTTTCTTTAATTATTTATTTTTAATAATATTATAAATAATATAAAAGAAAATTAAAATTATAATAAATTATAATATTAAATATAATAATATAAATTAAAGAAAGTTTAAAATCTATTAGATTTAAGTTTAATATAAAATTAATTCTTACTTTTTTTAAAAAAAAGATAAGTAGGTTTTATTTACCTTTTATTAAGCTATAGAAAGGGGTATAGTTAGACATTAAAGTAGTTTTAGAGTGCTTTCTTATAGCTTTTATTAAATTATTATAATTTAAAATTAAAGTTATTAAAAAAATAATATAAAAAAAATAATAAAGTTATAATCTTATATTATAAAAAGTATAAAGGTTAGTTAGATTAATAAAATAAGTAATATATATAAATGTATTAATTAGTTTTAAAAATAATTAATTTATAGCTTTAATAACTTACTTCTAGCTGCTTAAGGAGAGAGGGGGGTGGGGGTTAATATAAATAAGATATAATAAGTCTTTATTAGTCACGCAATTATTGAACTAGGTAACCCAAGTATCTTTGTACTAGTGCTAAGCTTGAGGTATGTTATAGATGACCTTCTGATCGGATATGTAATGGCAAACGCTGATATGTCAACGTTCCAGGCTACAGCAACCCACGCTCGCCCGCGGTGCTTCCTCATCCCACACTTTTTCCGCGGACTTCGAATGGAATACTGAGGGCGAGGCAGGGGGCGCTGAAATGTCTAAAGTGAATGAGGCTAGAGCAATCAGCTGATTTGAGGAGTTCCGAGTCTCTGTTTCCCTTCTCGTGACACTAGGGTCTAGGGTAGGCCGAGGCCTCTACCCGCACCTAATGTAAATCGAGACACGCAATTAGTTACTATGAAAATGGAGAAACTTTTGTTGCCTCTTCCTTATTTTCTACGGCCTTTTACTCCAGCACTGCTAGTGAAGTATATGTGAAGGTAAACGTACAGTCCGTGTGACAAGAAGTTAAGACCGGGATGAAGTTGCAACATTCTGCACAATATTCATCCCGCTATTATAATACCCTTTATTCCTTTCCAGCACAGCCATTCGTCACAATCATGGTATTCCCATCCGAGCTAACTTGCAATATCGAAGGATCGACCAGGTGGATGCTAGTATATCTGGCATATGCCCCGGATAGTGTGTAGAGTTCAGCTCCAATGAAATCTGGGAATGATTTCTTGACATAGGATATAAACTCGTCTGATTCCTCGGTGATGGGCAAGTGGTAGAAGATGAGTGGCTGCCTCCTGTAATGAGAGACAAGTTGCCGCGAGATCCGAGGATCTGGGTGAAAGCTTTTCACAAAGTCGACCATTGCCTGGTCCACAGGGAATAAAACCGCATCCCCGAACCGTTTTGTCGCACAGGCTCGCATGAAATTACGTATAGCTCGATATCTCCGTGTTTCAGAGGAAACAAGATGGCTAGTTGGAAGCCACTTTGTGAGGGTTATTTCGACTGTGCTAAAAAGAGGCTGTTGTGCCGGATTTACAGGAGTTAGAACTAATCGTAAGATCCTAATGTTGGCTGACAGAGACGCGTTGAGCTGGGGGGAGCAACTGACCTCCGTGCCGCCCTCATGATTTTGGGACAGGTAAAATCGCTTGAGCTGCCCCTTGCTTCCGGCGTGTTCATTCGATAGGTGTTGGATGGCTTCCGGTGTATGCCCAAGGTAACTTTCAAGCCTGGCCATCTCCGACTGCTGCTGGGATGGCGGTTTCATCAGGTCTTGCATTGTATAAATTCCTGGTTTCAGTGTCGGATAACCACGAGCGCTCCCGTGAGAGGCTTGCCTCGGGAGGGGAGTCCGAGTGTGAGGGGCATCAAACTGATTCCAGCAAGACCCTGTGATGGAAGGCGTCCAAATGCCTGGACTGGTAGAAACACGAGATTTTGAGGCGAGCGAAATATACCGAGAAGGGGAAAACATGGCGAATGGTCTCCGAAGCGTCGGCGGAGGTGCGGGCAACGTGATCTCGGGATGTTGATATTGAGCTTGCAAGTCGCGGTTGGGCACAGGCTGCACGGCACGTAGAGAGGTCGCTTGCTACTCAAGTAGATAAGATAAGAAGGCGGATGTGCATGGAGGAGGGTACCTAAATCCAGTGACCAAGGGTTAGGACAACGGGCGCGGTGGTCCGCGGCGCATAGCCCAGCTTATATAAAGAGTTATTAGTAGAATTATACTTTTAACCTTTAAACACACACACACATATATATATATATATATATACTATTTAATACGTTAAGCTTTTTAATAAATAAATAATATTTAAAAATTCGTTTTAAATAAATATATAAAGTAATAATAATAATATTTTATAATAATTTAAAATAAAATTATAAATTAAATATTATTTTAATAAAATAAATAAAAATATTAATAATTTAATTTAAATTAATATAATTAAAGTTATTTTTTAAAATTTATTAATAATTTATATTAAAGCTAATATTTATATACTTAATAAGTTAATTTATATACCTAACATTTTATATTAACGTATTTAATACCTAGTTTTAAGTATAGGGCCTATATAAAACTATATACCTAATTAGAATTCTTTAAAATTTTAATACTTTAAGTATAAGCTCCTTTTAATACCCCTTATAAAACCCTTTACCTTTACCTTTTAAGACTCTTTACTTTTACTTTTTAATACCCCTTTTAATCTATATACCTTTAGGTATATTTAGATATTAACTAAATATTTAAATACTAACTAAATACTAGAAGGTTAAAAAGTAAAAAGGTAAAAATAAAAACTATACTCTTTCTAACTTTCTAATACTCTTTCTAACCTTTTAACCCTTTAAACTTCTAACCTTTTAGTGTTTAGTTACTATCTAAATACTTAGTTAGTACCTAAATATATTTAAAGGTATATAGATTAGAAGGTTTAAAAGGAGTATTAAAAGGAGTATTAAAAGGGGTGTTAAAAGGGGTATTAAAAGGTAAAGGTAAAGGGGCGCTAAAAGGGGCTTATACCTTAAGTATTAAAAGTTAAAGAAAAAGCTTATATTATAAGGTCGCTGAATACTAACTTAGAAAATACTTATAAATATAAGGGAGTTATTAAGAAAAGTAGGTATTAGGTATATAAAAATAAATTACTAGATGCGTAAACTAACTTATTAAATATATAAACGCTAGCTCTTTATATTATTATTATTTATTATATAATAATATTTATTTAAATAAACTTTATTATTTAAAATAAAATGTTATTAAAAGTATAAATAATTAATAATTATAATATTTTTAAATTTTACTTTATATTAATATTTATTTAATTATTCTTTTTTATAATTATAAAATTATTTATTAAAGTTAATAAAAAAGAGGTTATTTAAAAGAATTAAACTTAAATATTAATCAAACTATAAATTTAAATTTATAATATTATAAAAAAGTTAATATTTACCTATTAAACTTTAATATTTACTTATTTAATAATTCTTATTAATTTATATAATACTTAGTTTTTTAATAACTCTTTTATATTTATTAATACTTTTGCAATTAATATTAAAAATTTAATAATATAATTTCTTTTAATTTTTAATATTTTAAGTATAAACTTTTTTAATACTTTTAACACTCTTTTAATATACTTTTAATACCTTTTACTCTTAAATATTAACTTCTTATTTAAATATTATTTAAATATTAATGAAATATTAAAAATTAAAAAGTAAAAAATTAAAAAGTAAAAATAAAAATTATATTCTTTCTAACTTTTTAATAATCTTCTTAATTTTTAATATTTAATTAATATTTAAATATTTAATTAATATTTAAATAAAAAGTTAATATTTAAAAGTATATAAGTTAAAAAGTATATTAAAAGAAATATTAAAAAGTAAAAATAAAAGGTTTTAAAAAAATATTAAAAAATAAAAGTAAAGAGTTTTAAAAAGAGTATTAAAAGGTAAAAATAAAGAGTTTTAAAAAAAGTATTAAAAAAAATTTAAAAGAAGTTTATACTTAAAATATTAAAAATTTAAAGAATTTTAATTAGATATATAGTTTTATATAGGCCCTATATATAAAAAGTTAGTATTAGGTAGGTTTATAGAAATCATTAGGTAGGTGGATATTAGAGCTAGGTAGGTGGATACTGGCTTACTGTTAAATAACTCTCTCTATAAATAACCCTAAGTGTCTTCTTGCCACTTATTCAGGCCACATACTTCCTTGTTTGCGTCTCACCCTTCTGTTGGCGCGAGCGATAGCCTCGTCCCGTTGACCTTTTGCCCATTCCATTGCATTGCGGTACGCCGCGACTCCCGATTCTAGGTCTTCCTCTCTCTCCATCATGTTCCAAATTCCGACCAAACACGTAATGTATGTAGGGAAATTCGGAGGCGAGTTCGATGCTTTGGGTGGTCTGTCCTGGGACTCGTCACAGGCATAGTCCCGGCGGTAGGTGACGTACATTTTCAAGGTGCCCATCTTCCAGGTGCATGTAAGACTGCGGCCAACACCCATCCGAGCAACACTACTCGAGTCAGCTTCAACGGGCTTGGCGTCCTCGCCAAAGCACCACAGCGCTTGCATCCCTCTTGCTGCGACGGCGCCGTCGTGGACCGCCTGCATATTCATCACAAAGTCGTCCCCTCTCGAGCCCCTGGCAGCGACCGTGAAGTTTGGGCACACGGTATTCTCGAGACCCGTGGGCAGAATAGACCCGCCCAGCCGGTCGCGGACGGCGGGGTCGAGATTGGTAGCTTCCGCTCCATAGGCCAGGTCTGGTTTGTTGCTCTTGGAGAGGGCATCTGGCAATGCGTCGAGCCTGTTGAATAACTGGTTCCGCAGAACGACATGGTCATGCTGGAGAGCCTGCAGGTCTGGCTGCAGATACCGTTCCAGCAGCACCATCGCGTCCGCCTCAGATATTGAACTACGTGCCAGGTCCCCGAACGTGTCAAAATCAATCTTGGGGTCCGAGCCCCTCTCGCGCCCGACCGCATCTTTGATCTCTTTCATGTTATCTGGGGGTATCCGGGCTGATGGTCTTCCGAGGTCCAATGGCAGCACGTTGTGGTCGATCAGACGCTGTCTGAATTCTGGCGTGTATGGCCCAGTCCTTCCCGACGATGTTGTCGATGTTGACATCTCCCCGGAGGCTGCTGAGTTCGTCACTGCCCACACATTCTGTTGGGGGGGAACCTCTTTTGTCCGGAGCCCTCCTCTACGTCTTCGTTCACGTCCATTGGCACTAGGTATCTGTCTTGAGCCTGGCCCGCCGGCACGTCCGCGACCGCTTCCCCTTGTCCGAGGTTGTCCTTGCTCGTCCTGGCCCACGGTCGGGTCCATCTCCATGGAGGCTAGAATGCCGCCTGGCGTATTGAATTGTCTAATCCTTGGCTTGCTTTGACGGACACGATCTCGTCTTCGCAATCCTGTGGGCAGAGGACTTGGGGCGATTCGATGAGAAAACTGGGCATCTTAGTTAAAGGCATGGGAATATTGCTCTGATGTAGAAATTAGACAAGGCGCACCCCTCGGAGCTTTTGTAAGTCGGGACCACCGAGATGAGAGAAGCGTTTTATGTCAGCGGTGTGAGGCAACCGGGTTTCAAAATCCCGGTTGGGAAGAAGGGGCTTAATTGCGTTGCGTCGATCTAGTTCTCGGAGCGCATTCCTTGAAAGGGGAACCCGGGATAGAGTATCCCAAAACTCCGGAGGCGGGAGGCTGGTTCGTCGACGACGGGCCTGAGATCTCCTATTTCCTCCAGCCCAATCGGGCATGAGGTTGGACATGCTCTTTGGATTTGGAGTAAAAACAGGTACTCGCAAGGTTGACAAATCAGCCTGCAGGCGGTGGAACCGATCTCTGACTGGCCTTGTCCTGATACAACGAATGACAAGTGGAGGCTTTCCACGCTCATGGAGCGGCTGTCTCATAAGAACGAAACGGGGTCCAGTCTTTGTCCTTCAGAACTCCTTGTGCATGCCACTGAATTTGACAGCGGTTGCGCGGATACGCAAACGCTAGTATCGACTCTAGAACAACAAAGAATTGTTTCTTTACCCCTTAGCTCTAGGGTCCAATCTTTCAAGCCCCTATCCCTGCTCACATTTTCTTAAAACAGAATCTTGAGAACGAGATTTCGAGTAACACTGCTACAGACTTTGATTTTTACGAATAATAAGACGAAGAAGTAAGCTTTCAATTTTTTATATGAGGTGAGTAAAATGTTATGTAGATGCTATATAAGTTTAAAAAATGATATGTTAAAATATTCAATCTCTAGCTATAAGAATTATTAGTTTATCTTAAATGATTTACAAACCTTCTCTAATTGTATGTAGATACATCACTGCCAGCCAGATAACAATGAGTCACTGGTCTATGATTTTCTCGGACCCGAGGCCGACTACCGTCGCTCCGGGGCCCACATATCCGGACTCTATGTCGGCCACTATGATGCGCACTATATGAAGTCATCAGTTTGCGTCTACTTGTTGATGATCGTGACGACACCGTGACATGACATGACGGCGGTCGACCACCAACAAGAAATGATAAAATGCCATCCTTGGTGAGACAATATCTTGGCTTGGTGTAATTTAATCTGTGGACATTCTTTTTGATTTGAGAATATAAAGTGCTTTTCACCCAACGTACGACTCCAGTATCCTGCACCCGTGTTCCCCATACCGCCTTGTTCCAAACATTTTCACCTTTGCTATTTCCTCACACTCTGTTCCACACCACCTCGGCGACATCACCTCCACCACGATGACGACACAACGCGTCTTCCAGCTCAGCGGCACATGCAACAACTACCCCTGGGGCAAACAAGGAAGGAAGTCGCTGGCTGCCCAATTGTGCGCAAGGACGCCCGGCACCGACTTTACGATAGACGACGAGCAGTACTACTCGGAGATGTGGTTCGGCGACTACCCCGACTTCCCGGCGCGGGTGCTCCAGACGGGCGAGCCGCTCGCGGACGTCCTGGAGAGGGACCAGCAGACGCTGCTGGGCAAGAAGGTCGTGGACACGATGGACGCCCAGCTGCCGTTCCTCCCAAAGGTGGGTGTGCTTAGACCCGTGATATGAAAGTGAAGCAAGCAGCAACGACTGACTGACCTCCCACGTCCAGATCCTCTCGATAGCAAAAGCCCTCCCGCTCCAGCTGCACCCCAACAAGGACCTAGCCACAAGGCTGCACAGTCAAGACCCGTCGCAGTTCACAGACCCCAACCACAAGCCCGAGATCGCAGTGGCCCTCTCGGAGTTCGAGCTCTTCGCGGGCTTCAAGCCCCTCCAGGAGATCCAGGCGCTCTTTTCCCTCCCCGCGCTGAGGCCCTACGTCCCGCAAGCAGCACGACAGACGGACAGCCAGTGGGACAACGAGACCCTCCGCGCCGTGGCGCGCGCCCTGCTAAAAGCCGACGACGCCACGGTCAGGGCGACCTCGGACGCCCTCCTCCAGCACACGCCCCGCGAGGCCCTGCGGGCCGCGGGCGGCGGGCACATCGCGGACCTGCTCCCGCGGCTGCGGGCGCAGCACGGCCCCGGGGACGGCGGGGCGCTCGTCGCGGTGGTGTGCATGAACTTTTTGACGCTAAGGCCCCTGGACGCGGTGTACATCCCCGCCGACGGGGTCCACGCGTACCTGTCGGGCAACATCGTCGAGTGCATGGCGCGGTCGGACAACGTCCTCAACGTCGGGTTCTGCCCGCGCGCGGACCGGGATAGTGCGGACCTGTTCGCGGAGACGCTGACGTTCCGGCCGCACAGCGCCGGGGACGTGATCCTCCCGAGGCGGAGGAGCGGGCGGAGCAGCACCGGGCGGACGGGGGTGTATAGCCCGCCCATGAGCGAGTTCGACATGCTTGTTTGTGGGCTGGGGGCGGGCGAGGGCGATGAGATTTGTGCTGGGGAGGGCCCTTCTGTTTTGTTTGTTACGCAGGGGAGCGGGAGGATGACCGCGGATGGGACGGGGTTTGAGCTGAGGGAGGGGTTTATTTATTTCGTGGCGCCGGGGGTGGCAGTTAAGTGGGAGACAGACAGTGGCATGCAGGTGTTTATGGCTACTGTTTGACTTCTGGGGTTGGGTGGGAGCCCGTGTGAGGTCGTATTTGCCGGTAGATAACGCTTAGAACATGTTCTTCTGCTGAGGCCTCGACGTGATCAGCCCGGTATTATGCCTTCATTCTTGGCCAGTCAGTCACACATGTTCTCGCACGAGCGTGCGAGGGCGAACTGGGAAGTGCTGCCATGCCTGTATCGAAACACCTTTTCATACATAACCTTTCTAATTTTCATAACCCCGAGAAACCCCATCCACCGCCAAGCCAGCCCCTGAATCAAGCAGTCTTGTCAGTGTTAGGCCTGGACCAGCCCCTGGGCCCGAACCACGTCCCCTTGACGAAGCTGCCCCAGTACACCGAGGGGAAGAAGTCCTTCTTGAGGTGGTAGAAGACGCGGCGGGGCACGTCCTGGCTGCCGATGCCGGGGACCTTGGCGAAGGTCTCGTCGGGCACGCCGCCGTACTTGAACTCGCACAGCATCAGCTCGTTGTGGCCCGTCAGCAGCGGGCACGAGGCGTAGCCCGTGTAGCCGGCGCGCAGCTCCTGGCCGCGGATGGTGGACAGCAGGTTGTCGACCAGCACGGGGGCCTGCGAGCTGATGGCGGCGGCCGTCTTGGAGTTGGGCAGCGACGAGGCGTCGCCGATGGAGAAGACGTTGGCGTACTTGTTGTGCTTGGTCGTGGTCTTGTCGACGTCGACCCAGCCGGCTGCGTCGGCTGTGGGGGTGAGTGTGGTGTTAGTGTATGTAGATGATGCAGGGCGATGTTGGGGAAGGCTGAATGAAAAGCAACAACTTACCCAGGGGCGACTTGGCCACCCAGTCCCAGGGCTTCTGGGGGGGAGTCACGTGCAGGAACCCAAACTCCTTCTCGACCTCCTTGCCGTCCGCCGCGAGGTCCTTGAAGGTGGCCACCCTCCTGGACGCGTCCACGGCGACCAGGCTGTGCTGGAACAGGCCCTCGACGCGGCGCTTGACGCGCAGCTCCTCGAGGGCCTTTGAGTACTTGGGCACGCCGAACATGGTCGGGGTGCCGGTGGCAAAGTAGGGCAGGATGTCCTTGCGCACGCCGTCGCGCTCCCACTGCGACAGGGCCATCCACAGGATCTTCTGCGGCGCGCCGGCGCACTTGATGATGCCCGCGGGCTGGGTGAAGATGGCGGTGCCGCTCCTGAAGGCCTGGATGTTGCGCCACACCTGCTCGACCGTCCTGTCCGAGTAGATGGAGCTGACCATGCTGGCCTGGTCCTGCAGGGCCTCGGGGAGCCCCCTGACGCCCGCGAAGTTGCTCTCGAGCCCCGGCGCCACGACCAGGTAGTCGTAGGACAGCTCGTTGCCGTCGGTGGTCGTGAGGGCGTTGTTGGCCGGGTCGAAGGTGGCCACGGAGAGCGGGTAGTGGGTGACGCCCGAGGGGATCAGGCTGGGCAGCGGGCGGCTCATGCCGGCCAGGGGCTTGAGGCCGGCGCCGACGAGGGTCCAGCCGGGCTGGTAGTGGTGGTCCTTGGCCGGGTCGAGGATGGCGATGTCGTCCTTCTGGAACTGTTTCGACCGCATCAGCTGCGCCGCCACGGTCACGCCCGCCGTGCCGCCGCCGACCACGACGACCCGGTGGTGGGGCTTGGGGGGCATCGATGTGACGGTTGCGTATGTTCTGAGTGAAGACGACGCCCTCAGGCTCATCGCCGAGGCGCGAGCAGCCCTGGCCCCGAGTGCTCCAGCCATGACTCTTTTCTTCCCAACACCACGAGATTATTAATTGGCCGGTTTGGATGTTGCCACTGGACCCTGTTGCCTCAAAGAATGTCGTCGAGGTGAGTCGCAAGTATTTGTGAGTGTGTCTGTCAAAGGCTTGGCTCTATTATTCTTTGCTTCCTTCGCAGCAGGGGCAATGGCGTGATCGGCTGTCGGCGGTTAACTTGTCGTGTTAGCCGGGCCAGGCGCCGCCGCAGACGTCGGCTAACCCTGCCCTAACCCTGGCGATTGCCGCGCTCCTAACCCTTGTCCCCGGGGGATGACGAGCGACTCTCACGATCATTGCGACAGTATTTACAAGCCCCTGTTTTATGTGTTCAATCTGGGGTATGAGACTTAAAGATCGCGGGTTGGGAACATGGAACTTAAGAAATATTTCGTTTTTCCGCTGCCGGCCATCGCGGTCTCTTTAATTATATACACCTTAGAATACTAATAATTTAGATACTAACTATAAGTATTACCTATATATATTTATATATAGCTTTAACTATATTATATTTTTCCTTTATATTATATAATTATTTATTTTTTCTTTAATAGTTTAAAGTTTATATATAAAGTTTTTAATAGCTTTATATATATCCTTATAGTTCTTTTAAAGAGGAACTTTAAATCTACTCTTTCCTTTATTTTTATTATACTTTTCTATATTATTAAAAAATTAATAATTACTAATAATAAAAGTATAAATTTAAAAGAGAATAAACTTATTATACTTCTTTTATTTTTTATAATTATTTTTAAAACTCTCTAAGAGTTTTAATATTTTATTATAAAAGTTTTAAAATAATATATTATAAATTATTTTTTATTTTAAATTCTTTTAAAGTTAATTATATATTTAAATAAAAGTTATAATATTAACTTATTTAATAAGGGTTTTATTAATATATATATATATATATATATATATATATATTTAAAGGATAATTTTTAACTAAGCTTTTTTAATATAATTTATTTATATAGTAATTATTTTTAAATTTAATCTTATTATATAACTCTTTTATAACGTTTTAATTAATATTATTATTAAGATAATACTCCTTAACTTTATTTATATATTATAAAGTTAAAGTTATAAATACTTATTATATTATAATTATTATTATTAATATTATATTCTTTTTAAATATTAAGTTTTAAATACTTATTATTATATAAAAGTATTATATATATCTTTAAATATATATAAAATAGAAGTAAAACTATATATTTATATATAAATAGTTTTACTTTTATTTCATATATATTTAAGAATATATATAGCGCTTTCACTTTATATAATAGTACTTATTTAAAACCTAGTACTTAAAAAGGATAGATATTAATAATAATAGTTATAATATAATAAGTATTTATAACTTTAGCCTTATAATATATAGATAAGGCTAAGGGGTACTATCTTAATAATAGTGTTAACTAGCTATATATTTTTATACTTTAAATTTAGTCTAATAATTCTTAACTGGAGAGCTCTTTTTCAGGTGGTGTGGTGGAGTTAATAGATGTAGTTGCAACCTGGAATACAATATATTTTATCGTGAAACATTAAAGTCGGGCGCAATGATCTATTCCTTCTTTGTGTAGAAGGTGAGCATGAAAATTTCGAATCACAAAGTCTGCATGTAGCTATTCTCATGTGAGCCAATGTGAGGAGCTGGTCTATTCCTACCCATGATCCCTTATGACGGCCCAAGTCATCACCCTAACTCTTTCCATCACCCTCCTGGTGATTCCACGCGCCCTGCTGTTCAAAACTTGTCTTGACCATCTCCCATCCTTGCATTCAGGACCGCCGGGTGGCCATATCCAGCCCGGACCACAGGCGCAACTCATACTGCACCGGGTCCAGCAGGTAAAGATGGCCAAAGGGGACATAGTACACACCGTCCGGGCCCTCACGGATATGCGGGACCCGGTCGCCCCTGTTCCTGTCCGTGTCGCAGTGCATGAGCCAGCGGGTATGCCACCCGATAGTCAGCCCCTGCCTCCGCACGAGGCCCATCGTGACGGCCCCGGGCCCGCCGTGCGACACCTCCCACGCCAGCATGAGCGCCGCGCACGCCCACGGCGCCGTCGCCTCGGGGTACCGCAGCTGCGTGCCGGCCGGGTACAGGCTCCCGACGGGGTGCCGGTTGCGCTCCGGGCTGTAGACCATGCGCGCGCCGTAGTACTGGACGAGGGCCCGCGGCACGTCCTGGACCGTGTCGTACCGGCACGCCCGGTGCCGCAGCTCCACCGTGTCCCAGGCGGGGCGGAGGGTGCTGAAGGCGCCGAGGAGCTCGGCCCTGCGCTGCGCGCTGGGGCGCTGCTCCGACTGCGAGATGGCCTCCATGCCGCCCTCGCACTGCCAGAGGAGGAAGCGTTGCTCCTCCGACACTGACCTGTGGGCGAAGTCTGCTCCTGGGCGGCCTGCGTCGTCTTTGACGGTCGTGTCATAGTCCTCGTACGCGTAGTCTCGCACCTCGCGCTTGCTCGGGACCCACTGGAGGTCGTCCCTGGGCGGGAGCTCCGGCGCGCCCAGCCCCCTCGCGGCCTCCTTGAGGTAGCCGCGGTGGGCGTCGAACATGAATCGCAGGCACGACTCGAACTGGCCCGCCCGGTTGGTATCATATGGTCTGGGGAGGAAGTGGTCGACGTTCCCGCCCATGTCGAACACGTGGCGCTGTCCCCGCTTCGTGGTCCAGAACTTGGTGAGGAGGTAGATCTCGGCCGCGAGGAACGAGCGGAAGAACCGGCGCGTCTCGGCCGGGTCGAGCTCGACCGGCGGCGGGGTGCTCAGGTCCTCGTACTTGTTGTGCCGCCGGTCGACGGCGGCGGCGATCTGGTGCACCCTCTTCCAGGCGTCGTTCGAGTACCGGTCCGTCACCCTCGCGAGGTCCCCGGCCACCGCCGCGATGTCCAGGATCGCCTGGAGCGCGGGCCTGATATAATGTTCTTGTAGGCCCTCTCTCCCTATCTCCAGGATGCGGAGCAGCTTGGCCTGGAGCCTGTCCGTCTCCGCCTGCGTCTCCGGGCGGTCGCCCACGGCAGCCCTGTGCCTGTTTCTGGTTGTCCGGATGAGGTAAACCATGATTATCCGGCCCCTGACCGGTGCCTCTGGGTGAATGAGGGACATCAGATGTTCCAGGGCAGGTGGGAACAGCAATGTTGGGTATCGGTTCCATAGCGGCTCCACCCATTCGTAGGCTTTCGCAAGGCATCCCAAGGTCTTGGGCTCGAGGACGTGCTCGAGGATGATAAGCTTGATCTCGTTCGGGATCCTGTCCGTGTCTAGCCAGTTCCCGGTGGTGACCTTGCTGGTGTGACGTTTTGCTGGCTCCGCTTCCTTTTCGCGTACGTCCGAAGACATCCTTGGCGCCCGCATACGGTTGTAAACACTCAAGAGCCAGGGTTTACAGCACTCTGAAACCATACTATGTTGACAATAATGTTGACAATAATGTTAAGGATACGATGGGTGTGTATCGTGTTGATCTGGATTTCTTGATGCTCCTCCCCTTCGTTTCCTCTCCCTTGTGATGGTGTATCAGAGTAGGTTGGACCTACTGATGAGCGAGTTGAATGTAGCGTCTGAGGGCTGATATACTGTTCGGCCAAGTGAAGTTCGCAAGAGCTTGGAAATTTATTTGAAGCGTGTGTCTGGATCTGAGGCACGTTGTGCTAATGGGTGTTGATTTATTGAATGGTGCAGGTAGACAGACGCTGGCTCCTCTTAATGGCCTCGTGATGCTTGGTGTGGATGAATAGTAGACTAATACCTCGGTATAGTCCAAGGCCTAACAAAGTACTCCGGCACCTAGTGCTCGCTTATCTGTCAACTAGTACCTAGGCCGTCCCACTGAACACCACTTTTTTCAAATATTCGTGGCTGCCAGTTTTTGAAACTTCTAGTACCACGGGGATTGAATAATCTTCAGCCCCATAAGGGTCATTTGGGAATTAGTGATCAAGGTATATCATCCCCTTGACATACCAGTAACTCATCACTCGTTGTCTTATGTATTCTGTTATCGCCCAAACTTCTCGTTTTCCACGTTTAAACGAGGATCGACATGCATCGATCAGTCGAGACTTGGAGCAGTTCAAGCATGGAGGGGGCCTGGTTATGTCTTGTGTCTGTGGGTCTCAGACAGCACCGTCTAAACGGGATGAGATTCAAGCGTCGAAGTCAGTCTGTCATGTGTTGCATGTGCGACATGGCCGCCGTTGCTGCCAGTGGTGTGCTAGCTTTTTTGATCTTTCATTTCCCCGGCCAAAATGCGTTCTGACCAAATAGTTCCCAGTCTTTGCCCACGGTGAGTGCATACATTGGCGCTGCAGAATCTTGGCCAGATTCGTCAGTCCACACCAAGCCAGCCGTCACGTCTAGATGTGGGCGCAAGCCACGTCGTGAAATCAATGATTGGAATTTCTGAAGAAAAAAAAAAGTAACCCAATGCTGTTAAACTTTCTCCTGTCCGAAACTTTCATCTGAGCCATTGCTAGGCGGCGGCCAACGAATGACTGATCTTCCCTGCAGTAGAAGTCATTTGTTTTCCGCTGCAGAACCACATATCGAAATCCCCACTGACTGAAGTTGCAATTCGAGAACCGCTGACCGGTCTCCTTTGCAGATTCAATTGTCGATTATCCACCATTCCACCGTTTTGTTGTGCCAATTCAGCATGGCCTCTGTAGCAATCTGCTGCCCCAAGGGCGCAGTCGATGATCCACCTAGGCAGTCATCTAGAAATTGTCGAGGTCAGCCATGACCAGTTCTCCCACCACCTTCCCAGTTGCAGGGTCAATGGTGGTGACTTTGACCGAGCCACCGACGATCTCCTTTTGGAGCATGTAATCGAAGACCCGTCTTTCCATACCGTCGTCCTGCCGCTCGATTGGGAGCTTCTCGATCGGCTTCGGGACCTTGATGTTCATCACACCGTACTCCCGAAAGGCGGCATCGGTAGGGTTGTATCGCGCAGGGGCCGAGTCGCCATCGTATGCGTAAAAGACCGATTCCTTACAATGCATGCCCTTTTCCGCGAGGTCAAAGGCGAAGAACATGCCCGTCTGTGCCTTCTCGGTGGTGTCGATCGGATCGCCCTGTTCACGGGAGCCTGCTCAGCATAAAGGACAAGAGAAGTGAGGTGGAGGCAAGGGGGCAGATGCATGTTACTTACCTTCTTCACCAGATACTGCAGCTTGTCCGGGATCATGTACTGGCCAAAGTTGGGGTTCCAGACGCCACCCTCCTTCACCGAACCAACTGCATTCTTGACGAAGCACACATGAGTCCTCGACAACCGGCTCTTCACAAGGCACATGTTCATCTGCCCGCCCAGGCCATACAGGCAGGCGCCGCGGCAGACAGAAGTCCACGGCATCTCACCCGTCTCGCTGTGCACCTCGATCTTCTTAGCGGGGGAGTCGTCGTCCAGCTTCTGCTTCTTGCGCGCGCCGTCGCCGCTCTTCTTGGCCCGCGTCCCGGGGATGCTGACGCCCTCGAACTCCTCACGCAGCCGCTGGAGGACGTACGGGCACCGTCCAAAGCCGCCGACGGGCAGGATGACGACGGGGGCCTTGCCGCTGTTGGCCTTCTTCACCTGCTTGACCTGCTGCTTGACGAGGCCGATGATGTGCGGCATGACGGAGTCCTCGAAGACCTTGCGGATCTCGTTCTCATGCAGGTGGACTACGTCCACGTCGGAGGTGGCGTTGGAGAGGATGACGGGCCAGATGCGGCCGGTGCCCTTGTACTCGAAGCTACGCTTGATGATGTGCTGCCACTGCTCCTTCATGATCCTCGCCCAGGCGGTCGGGTTCTTGGTATTGAGGTCTTGGTGTTTTGCCGGCAGCCTGCTGATCAGTAGCTTCTCGAATGCCTCGTCGGCTTGGATCGCTCCGTAAATGTCGCCTATACGTGGTTAGCTGTGCGCGACGACCTGAGCAGTAGTCCCCAGTCCAGTCCTTACCAGCTCCATGGGTAGCTTCCTTGAACTGATCTCCGTCGCCTACCCTCAAGTAGGAGATGACATCGTTTGTCCCTCCGCCCAGGTCCGGTACCACCACGGCCTCGTCCTTGCGCAGCTTGTCCTGCAGCTGGCGCGCGTAGGCCTGCACGGCTGCCTCGGGCTCAGAGATGTGCTGGACGGTCGTCATGCCCGCGTCCCGCTCGGAAATTATGCTGATCGAGGCAGCATCCTCCATGTCCTTGATTTGGCGGTTTCCCCAGATAGCGGGGACTGTGAAGACGACCCTGATGGGCATGGCGTTGAAGTCTCGCTCTCCGAGGGTCTTCTTGATCTCTCCCTTGGCATGGTCCCAGATCTTGAGGATGTACTGGCTTATGACCTCCTTCGGCGTGAGTCCTAGCTCCTTGATCTTGTCTCTGGTCTCCTTGAGCTTGGTGGAGTTGCGTAGGTGTTCGGGGAGATCCTTCTCGCGCACGATGGCGAGCTTGAACCACTCCAAGACGATCTCATCGCCCTCGGCCTCCTCGTAGCCCCATTTGATGAGCTCTTGCTTGGAATTGTAGATGAGCACTGAGCGCACCTTGCTCTCGTCCCGATCGGGTCCGTAGGAGCTCGGCCAGGCACGAACCGTGCGGATCTCGGCGTCGCTCAAGCGCTCGACGTTGGAGTTGAATACGGTCCAAGCAATCCCTGAGAAACTGCGTCCTAAATAAGCAAGGCTGTCTTGAGTTCATGAGGGCCTCACGTACGTTGTTCCAAAATCAAAACCCACGACAATACACTTGGCGTTGGGTCTCTGTTGGATTGCACGCCTCATCTCGCCGTGGGAGTCCTGCGACGGCTTCGACATGGCTGACTTCGAAATCCTCGCGTCTCAATGATGTCTTGATGTGAGAATGAAGTCTTAATGTGAGAAATGAAGCTGGGTTCAGAGAAGCTCATGAGAACAGTGAGGTGTATGAGCCTTAGTGAGCTGATTTGACGAGCGGAAGTTTGTGGGGGAGATTCTAAAAGTGGAAGATGGGAAGTCGTAAGAATGGAGGGCAGGTGGCACATGAGCAAAGTAGGGAAGACGTGGGATGAAAGGCCGAACTGAACGAAACGAGCTGCTAGAAAAAGAAAGTGCGGTAAGGATTTGGTGGAAACTTGTTGAAAGTCTTACCAGCAGAGCAGCTCCTGTACTGCTTTCTTTTCCTTTGGGAATTCTGGCCGTTTGCAAAGCTCTGTACGGACGACGTCCACTCAAGACCACAGGCTGGAAATCTAAGGACGAAGTACGCACACCTGAAATACCTCACTCCAAGCACTCTCGTGTCTCGTGACGCCACAAAACCTGAACCACCTCGACTCACCACCAGGTACGTGTTCTCTTCGCTTTTTATACCGCCACACACGCGATCCCTCTTCGTAAATCCTCTCCCCGGTCACTCGCCCAGACTTCCCGCAAGGAACCCCTGATCTTGGACAATCTGTGCTGATTCAATTACCTCAGCAGCAGCACAACCAGGCCTGCCTCTAGCTGATTATCTGTCAGCAGAGCAGCCGGGCATCGCTGCTAATGTCCCCAAAGATCTGAAGAGATCCTTCAATACCCTACAACATCTCAACATGGCAAGAATGGCAGCCGCAAAGAGAAAAGACCGTGACGAGGGAGGCAGCCCACCCTCCAGCGAAGAGGGAAAGAAGCTCAAGATGGAAGATGAGGACCCGAGCCCACCAACACTCCAGTCCATGCCGGGCAAGATGGAGGGCCCCGACGATACCTTCATTGTAGGCCTGTTTAGCCCGCTCTTCTACGACATCCTAAGTTTCTCCATCAACTTCTTTCAGGGTGCCCCCTATGTTCTTCCTCGCAAGAATGAGCAGAAGGAGTTCGTGCAGACCTTGGCCGGCAGCGACGCCAAGCTGTACCTGGCAAGCAGACACACAGGAGCGAAGGAGAAGATCGTACAGGCCATGATCTGGAACAAGCTGGTCGAGTCGCTGCTCAGTGTGCCTCTGAAGGCATTCATCCAATTCCCAGAGGCAACAATGAAGATGTTCATAACTGGTACGACCGAGTAATTAACCCCTTGTTTGTTTTGATCAAATCGGCTGACCAACTTGCCCTCAGATGCCCCCGGATTCTACATGTGGCGCACCATGACAGCCCAACTCATGCAGAAGAGCTACAAGGGACCTCTCTCGTGGGGCAAGGATGGCCCCCGACGCAAGGATTTCGTCGATGAGACTACCGACCTGCTTTCCAACCTTTCTGTCGTCAACAACCAGGAAGCATTGAGAGAAAGACTTGAAGACATTGCGCAAAAGGCCTATGACCTTGCCACAGCTATGGCTCGCAGCGGGGCCTACTGGGTTTGCACAATGAAGGATCCCGACGTCGCCAAGCTGCACGGATTCCAAATCAAGACGAGCCGCATGGAGGACATGGAATTGTGGGACGATGAAGAGGCGACCAAGAAGGTTGATCTTGTGGTAGCTCCGATGCTTCTGAAGTATGGGAACAGCAGCGGCCAGAACTTCGACAAATGTCAGGTGGTTGAGAAGGCGAAGGTGGTCATGAAGCCCAAGAAAGACAGCCACTGAGACAAGAATTATGACAAGACTCGTTAGGGAGCAGAGTGAGGACTGAGGGCCGTTTGAGAACTGTTTGGCTTGGGCCTGATCTTGGGGTTGGAGTGTTGATAAGGATTCATCCTTCGGTACACGCCTTTTCTGGCGACATCACATTACATGCCTGCCATTTGAGCATTCAGTCAGGCAGGCCCCATGCAATTCATATTTTGATATTCCACAACTTCTTCACTTGATCGCTCATGGGCTCTGAATGAACCTGAATGTGAAGCCATAAACAATGCCTCAGCAACACGGCGAGTCAGCAGACTCAGCACTCAATTCGATCGGCATTGATCCCATTCAGAGCCTTTCATGCTGCGACGCTGTTCTCAACACCAGTAGCTGCACCGCCCCTCCTCAGATTCGCTCCCACCACAGGAATGTCCTCAGTGTCCTGGTCAGCAGGATCCCACCCTTCACGCTCATCCTTAGGCACCCTCACGAAAATGAAATTGAGAACCAGGCCCACCACCGCCAAGGCCACGCCAAAATACAACACTGCTCTAAACCCATGCGCCTCATCATGCGTCTGCTTCAACAGCTGCGTCTCAATGGTACCAGCAAACCCCAGCCCCAGGCTGTTCCCATACAGGTTCAGCGTCCCGATCAGGCTCCCCGCGATCCCCTGCTGCTTGCGGCTGACGCTGTTGCTGGCGATGACCTGCGCGGCCACGTACACGAGGTCAGGACACATGCTCCCGACGACGATGGCAGGGAACGTCTGGGCCCAGTACGTCTGGCGGACGGGCATCGTGGCCAGGAGCAGGTTCGAGACCATGACGAACACCACGCCCAGGGCGATGATGTACTGCGCCGCCAGCCGGGGGATGAGCCAGGCCGCGATGAAGACAGCGACGACGGACCCGGGCACGAAGGGCGTCCACTCCACGGCGAGCTGGATCACGTCCCGGCCGCGGAGCAGCTGCTCCCACGCGATCATATACCACAACGAGATGCCGAACGACATGTAGGCGAGCAGCACGACGAGCAGCAGCGCGGTGAACGTCGGCGCCCTGAAGATGCTGACGGGCATGATGGGCTCGCTCGCGACGTGCCGCTCCCACGCGAGGAACCCCACAAACAGCGCCACCGCCAGGACGAGCAGCGCGATCTCGTACGGCGCCGACCAGCCCGCGGAGGGCGCCTGGTTCCAGGCGAAGTTGAAGAGCAGCAGCCCGCCGCAGCCGAGCGCCGCGCCGGCGTAGTCGATGCTGCCGCCCCTGTCGACGGGGACCTCGCGGGGCAGCTCGAGGGCGAGCAGGCCGAACAGCACGGCCGTGACGCCCGAGATGAAGACGAACATCATCTGCCAGTTGGGGGTGAGCATGAACAGGCCCGCGATGAGGCCGCCGACCCACCCGCCCACGGGGGCCGCGGCGGCGAAGAAGCCCATGGTGAGGTTCCGCGTCCGCCCGGGCGGCACGACGATGGTGATCATCGCGACCGCGTTGGGCATGATGAGCCCGCCGCCGATGCCCGTCAGGGCCCGCACGGCGACGAAGGCCGTGTAGGTGGGCGTGAAGGCGTTTATCAGCGAGAAGGCGGAGATGATGGCGCCGCCGACGAGGAGTGTCTGTTTGTGGCCGTACACGGCGCCCAGGCGCCCGCTGATGAGGACGAAGGTGCTCTGGGTGAGGCTGGGAGGGCGTTGGGGCCTTGGGCTTAGTGATGGCTTTCTTTCGGGACCATGAGGGGGCAGTTGCTTCTTACGAGTAGGCAGCGGGCATCCAGTTTGCCTCGCCTGGGCCGACGTCACGGCCCAACTTCCTGCTGAAGGCCAGCCCGCCGGCCAGTGTTACGAAGTTCGCAGCATACTTGCACATGTTAGCCGACAGTCAGTCATGAGTTTGGATGAAATGCTTACTTGTGTTAGACTGGCCAAGATGACGAGAGTGGTGATCAGCACCCGCCTGGACTTGTTCAGTGTGCTCGTGGGCTCGGCTTCAAAGACCCGTGGTGGTGCGAGATGGCTGGTGGGTATCTCGCTTCCAGGGTGAGAGGGGAGGACATTGTGTAGTCTCACACAACTTGGTCTTGAGAGATCAGTCAGGGGGACTGTGACCACCTGGGTGAGTGTTGTTGACATGGCGTTTTGTTATTGCAACGGCTGCTTCGATTGATTGTAGTGCAACTCAGGATATACTGTTGACTGTCCTCGACGAAGCCGCCTGGTGCATTCATGAATGATTTATATACTCACCGAGTCCATACCGACGTAAACTGTCCCACACGGGAACCCATTACTAGCAGAACGCCATGATGTCCCAACACGTGCATGATCTGTCAGCAGCACCTTGGACCATCGGAGTACAAGCCCCCGCACCCGGACGATTGGTCCGGAGCACACTCACCCTCACCAATATCTGGGTTGCGATGACGCTCTAGTCCATAACGAACATGATTCATTTTTGCGCCCTTTGGTAAGCATCACATGCATCTGTTCAATGTGCGGGAAAGGGACAAGGCCCCCAGAGGGAAACTCTGGGCGGAACTGACGTTTTGGGCTTGGTGCACAATTCCAACAACTGCGCGGGCTAAGTTCGGCGGACACTGCCTTCACCTTTCGGGCTTGACTTCCAAGATTGTCAGAACGCGTTGAAAGGACACAGCCTGGGGTGATGATATTCATTTCATCACCGGTACCACGAAAAAGAAAATGATGGTCGAATTCGTGTTTAGTATTTAACATACAAAAGCCTATTATTGTTCTCATGAGGTTGCCCTACAGAAGGTTGCTATGAGAGGTTGTCCTGAGTGGTTCATCCTACAGCAGGTTGTCACGTACAAGGGTTGCTTTCACTTGTTCCTTCCAGAACTCTACAAGAGCCTCAAGTGCTGGCCTCTCCGCAGGATCATCCACAAGACACGCATCCACAGCCTCCCTCCAGCCCTGTGGAATATCAACGGACCGCTCAGCCCAGACCGCAGCATCGGCGGTCTCTTCCCTCTGCTCCAGAACGTGCCACAAAGTGCGGGCCGTCATGAACACCTCTGCCGCCTCGATACCGCGAGGGTTCTCCGCCTTCCACCTCACGTAGGCCTCCCGGAGACCATCTTCGGGCCAGGTCCCCAGCCGGGGCGTGAATATGACGACGGGCTGCCCATCCTGATCGAGACGCATCTTGTCAACAATCTTTCGGATCTTGGGGTTGGAGCCCATCGTGGCCTCGGGCGGGTGCGTCGCGCGGCACAGGCCCTGCTGCTGCCAGTCGATGATCCTCACCGTGCTGTCATCCTCGACCAGGATGTTTGCGGGCTTCATATCCATGTGGAACGTCTTGGCAACACGGTGGGTGTGCAAGAGCCCCGCCACGATGCCTAGGCACCAGTTCGCCTTGGTCGACAGCGGGATCCTCTGTCCTTTGTTATTTGCGCGCTTGATTTGCTCGGCGACCGTCTGTTTCGCCCGGAACGCCTGGAGGAATCCGTATATGCGCGTGGGCGATGTCGACGTTGTCACGAGGATGGGCGGCGTCGGGATGATGTTGGGATGCGGAGCAATGCTGCAGAGGACCAGCAGCTCTTCCTTCAGGGAGTGCTCGCTGTACAGTGCTCGCTTGTAATATTTCCATGGTTCCTTTACTTCCTTCCGCTTGAGCCAGGCTGGAAAGTCAGCGCCTTTGAATACGTATAGATCAGACTGCCTTGCATTGTCAGTGATCTCGAACGGGCCATCAATACAGACGCATTTAGCATCATTTAAGCCGGGGAGTGGGCTCCCGGCAACAATCCGAAGGAGAGATATGTCGACCATTAAAAATTCATGAGGTCTCGTTATGACGCCTTGGCGGTTGAGATAGTCGAAGAAGTCGCCAATTGGCATTAATGTTTGGGCAAATTGCGGATATGACACCCTTTCCTCTGGGTGAAGAGAAAGAAGCGGACAAGTGTTTGAAGTCGATGGCGGAAGTGTTGCCTCCATATTAGTATCAGTATACCGTCGTCTGACTTGTGATGCAGTATTGTGTGGCTAGATTGGATCTGGTTGAGTAGTGTATCCCAAACCGTACGCTTCCGGAATGTATAAGGATTAAGAATGAAACCACTCCCGTGAAGATTTGGTCGAAACTTCTACTTCTTCCGCGCATTGTCAACATTCAGTGGTCAGTCATTACAATGTACCTACATAGCCAAGCTTTTGTCATTCCAGTAGGACAAGTCAGCGAACCATTTCTGTCATAGCGATCGAGTGGATATGGAATCTGTGATAGATTTAGCAAATTGTCACTGACAACACCTCATCATATCTTCCCAGGTCGCAGATGTCTATATGTAAGAGAACACCTCACAATATCCCCGTTCTAAGTGTTCCCGGCCGGGGAATCATGACTGCAATAATCCATCGAAATACCTTGAAATCCGCACAAACAATGGCAAAGGACCAAGAAATTCAAGCACGAAGCTTACGTTCCATGTCAGTGGACACCCTTCTGTATGAGGTGGCACGTGTTCAAATTTCCGACCCCGGCGTAAGCTACCTGAGCACAGAAAAAATCCTAAGTGTACCACCTGGACCTCCATTGCGAGCAGGCCAGAAGAATATCATCGTGATCTACTGTGGAGCTTTCAACCCTCCCCATACCGGCCACGTCGCGTGCCTAGTCGATGCTCTGCAGCACATGGCCAAGGACCCCACTCTATGTCACTTTGTCGCCTGTATCGTGGTTCCCCTGGATGAAGAGCTTCTGCTACAGAAAGAGAAAAGAAAAAGAGGCGATAATCCGCGAGCCTCTGAGATTAATCCTCCAATAATCCTGAGCGGCAAGGACCGCGCTGACCTCCTCTCGTCGTACATTCACTCTGCCGCCTCCGGACTCGACGCCCATCTCCGCTCCAAGGTCCACGTCTGGGCGCCTGCAGACGCAAAGACAATCACCGACATTCCACGGCTGATAGCGGCCGAGGCCAAGAACAAAGGTTTCGAAATGGATTTCATCTTCGTTCGAAGCTGTGAGTACATGTATTATGGTGACAAGGGAGCCACCCGCTACCCGCGAGCGATCCACCCGCAGTGTAGTATGGTCATTTTCACCAACGTCGGAGGAAGAAATAACGACGGGGTCTGGCAGGCTGATGGTAGCCCACTCGCGCAAGAGGAGCCATGGACGAAATGGGAGGCCCTCGTCATGAGCCAAGATCTCGAAAAGGGGGCCAGGAGAACAGTGTGGTCGACAAAGTCCCCGACGTCGGAACAGAGGATACTTGATACGCGGAACACTCTGAAGTCCGAGTCGTGCTTTAGTTCAACTGAAATTCGAAGGCTCTTGTACAAAGGCAACTTTGAGGACCGTGAGACCCTTGAAAAAGACCTTCATGAGGCTGGGGCGATAGATGCCGGAAGGCTGATCGGGATGCTTGAAGACTGGGTTGATCAGAGGAGTACGTCATTTAATCGGTAGACCTCCTCAAGGATTGGAGGGATGCTATGTTGCACGATATCGAGGTCGGACTTTGTCAGAAATAAAGGTCACGGTCAGAGTGGCAGAGCCAGAAGGCGAATAAATCAATACCTAGGTACCCAAGGAGGTAGGTACCTACCTACCTAGGTAGGTATATATCATATCTATAAGTCGAGCGGGTCCCCTTTGGGCCACGCGCCAGTCCACACCCGCCCACCCGCGTAACTATACAATTCACGGTAGCTTCACAAAATACTCGTCAGCTCGAGAGCCGAGAATAAAATTGAGGGAATGGCGCCCCGGAGGCGAGGGAAGGTCGACAACGAGCCCTGATTTGAGCTTCGTATATGTCAGGTCAATCCGGGCGTTGCCGTTGCAGCCATCAAGGTGGAATCAGAAGATGCAGAAGAGTCAGAAAACCAGGATTGCAGCAAAGGTTTTACAGATGATGCACCCGTAGTATTTTAACTATAAGATTAATGTTATAGAGCCCCTGCGACGTCGGGCCTCACAATGTCAGCCACAGGTGGCTTGTCCCCCGGCCGCCGCCACCCCGTCCAGACAACCTCCTCACGCTCGGCGTCCCACGCCATCCCCATCTCCGTGCCGTCCTCCGGGTTCCACGGCGATTTGTTGTCCTCTGGGTCGCCGTCCAGCCAGATCCCGGCGAGGGTGCCGATAGCATTGCAAATCTTCTGTTCCTGCAATTGCGTCTTGCAGTTAAAGTTGTGGTCCATGTCTTGCACGTAAATACACCATGATCGTGCTTTCATTTGCCGGCGGAGTGGGCCGAATATGATTTCAGGTTCCATCTGCGGAAAGTAGACTTTAGCTCTACATGGGCTAGATTTGGATGGTTTGTGATGGATCAGTAGAACGACTTACCCAGTCTTTTGTGCCTTTGATGAAGAGGACGCGTGTGTCTGGGGAGAGCGCGAGCAGCTCTTGCGTCCTGACGTCGTAGTCACGTACCAGAGGGAAACTCCATAGTATCAAATTTTTGTTACTGGAATAAACTGCTATTCAAACGGTCAGTGCGAGTCCGGTAAAAGACTCCGAGGCCTTTGAGCGATTATCAAGGACACATCACCGATGTGGGCACGATGACCACGGTTTCGTAGCAAAGGACGGGGAGCACTTACAAGCCTTGGCAGCACATCGTGCACCGCGGCTGCGACCGCCCATGGCCTTGCCATTTACATTGTTCATGAGCCAGAAAAAGCTAAAGTTCGCCGTCCTGATCACCTCGGCGTCCCGTGCGTCCCCGACCCACTTCTGGAACGCCAGCACCGGCGACCGCCGAGCAATGCCGAGACACAGCTGCGTGAACGCCTCGGCATCGATACCTCGAGACCCACTATGTGACATGATCACCTCAGGTTCCGCAGGGAGGCCGAGCAGCGTGCTCCAGTCGTTGGGGTCTTGCTCCCCCTCCCGAGGCTCACGCGGGGCCCGTTGCTGCTCTGGCTGCGCTGACACGCTGCGGGGACGTTTGGATGGCGGGTTTATTGTCTCGATGGTGTTCTTTTTGGGGGTGTAGTAGAGTATGATTCCGTTGGAGGATGCCTGGGAGGTTACAATGTCGTCGTCGCGGCCCTCGATACCAGTCCCATGGTAAAATGGGTAGGTCTCCACCGCGACAGGAGGGCTGTTGCGAATCTCCTGCGTTCCCTCCTTGCTGCAGATGATTCTGTTCATACCTGATATGCTAGACATGATGAGTTCACCGACAATTGGGCGTTTCTATTTGATAGTGTTCTGAGAAGGCAACGTCCCAAACTTTGTGAACATGGCGTTCTTATAGATACTTGGCGTGCGTATCATCGACCTCGGTAAGTCACACAACCCACAAGTACGAATCGGTGATGTCTTCTTTATAGAGCTAATGACTTCCTTAGCGTACATGATGTGCAGGAATCTCCCATTCGCCTATTTGCCGTAAAGCCTACGTGCACAAAGCGCTAGTCTGTATTAACGGGATTCACTCCGCGTTGAAACGGAGTCACGATGCTAATCAGATTCGCCGAGTGCGTTCATTGTATAATCAGCCAATTGATATCGCCGAGTCTGGAGCTCAGATTTAAAGGCACAGCATGTACTGCGGTAATGCCCACTACGATCCCGCAGATCGTAGTGCGTCTTGAGAAGCAACCGCAGATAATATGCTGTCTCGTGCTCGTTGCACTGTGACAATGAGGAGTCCAGAAATTTGAAGGAAAGATGTTGTACCTCATTAACATATCTCGGCCATTTGTTTCTAACGACAGTCCAGGACACAAGGTGGCATATTCTATGATATTTTCTGCAGCGTCATTTACGTGGGGAGTCTAAGACTTCCACCCGTGGACGTCACATGTGGCTTTTCTAGTAGACAAAATCTAACTACTACTGACTCCTTAATACGGGATGAATTCAAGCAAACGTCTTGATTCGCCAGTATTTCTTCTAATAACACGGTTGGCACAGGACTCTCCTCTAAAATGCATGTTCACATCCATCCCAAAGTTCTCAGTCAAACAACTTCCAGCCGCCTGTGACCCCTTTCTGGAACAGACCCTCAGGATCATACTTCCTACTAGCTGCCTGCAGCCTGGCCTTATTCTCCTTGCCATACGATCCAATGGGGTCTTGGAAAGGCGCGGCGTAGTTCATGTACTTGTATGCGACTGCCGTGCCCCTCGTCGCTGCATCGTTATCAATGGCTTCGATGACGGCCTTGAAAGTCGACTGGATCTTGTCGTCGTCTTTTTTGTCCTGCCAGAAGGACAAGATCAAGATCGACATGAGTGGTCCGTCCTGGGCGTCGATCCCCAGCGAGTTCCCGCCTGCAGGATCTGTCTTTTCGAGCAGAGACTTGGGATAAGCCTGGAGGGTGAACGATGTGGTGAGGCCTTCCGCCGCTTTCAGAGGCCCCAATGAGTCCACATAGATTTGGTATGCGGCCATCAGGGTCGGGACGTCGGCCTTCACAGTGGTGTTCATGTAAGAGATTCTGCGGAGGGTTGCCGTGTCAGTCTCAAAGGATCGATAGCACACGAGCATAGACGAGAGCTCCGGGAGGGTTCACAATGGTTAAGGATGTCTCACCTGGAGGTCGAAGATCCCTGGGCTGTCTGTTCTTTTGCTGCATCCACGAGATCCAGCATGCGAACGGATCGCATTTGGTCGATCTGGGGCTGCATGTTGACGTAGGGTTCAAGAACCGGCGGGTTCTCGACTTCCTTGGTATAATACACCTGGTTCATACACATGATGTCGCTGATCTGGGCCAAGGCGGCACTGTAGCCAGCACCAATCATGATGTGTGTCTCGTCCGTTGCTTCCGGATCCTTGAGGTCCTTGACGTAGGCTTCTACCTGGCCTGGGAAGCTGTTGGGAAAGTAGAAGGTGGCACCGCCCCAGAACCTGCCCTGCTTAAAGGTGCGCATGTCGTACCTGGTAACAATGGCAAAGTTGTTCCCTCCACCGCGGAGGGAGACAAACAGATCCGTGTTCTCGTTTGCATTGGCGTTGGTAATCTCTCCGGATGCTAGGACGACTTCAAAATTGGTGACATTGTCGGTGATGAAGCCTTCGCGACTGGAGAAGAAGGACAGACCACCTGATCAGGCGTAAGTAAGACACCCAGCACGATATATGACATATGAAAACGGGTAACAGGGCGTATGATGGATCCTTACCAGAGAGAGAGAGCCCACCAATGCCACCCAGACTAGATCGACTACCAGTGACGGCAAGTCCCTTCTCCTGTAGTTTGGAGTAGACCTCACCCCAACGCTCACCCGCCCCGATCGAGACGGTCGTATGATCGTCTTTAAGATGAATACCGGATAAGTTGCGCAAGTCGACAGTGATCCCATCGTGTTCGTTGTTACATCCGAGCGCAGGTTGCTGCCCGGCGCCGCGTACAGCAAACTTGATGTCGCCGCGGAGTACATAGGGTCCAATAAAGCGTACAAATTTGGCAACATCGTCCCTATCTGCGGGCAGGAAGATGGCCCTCGGCTCAAGTTCGCCCTGTGCCTTGGAAAGATACGACGTGTTGAGAGTAGTGAACTCGTCAGAACCAGGAAATACCACCTGCTCGCTTGAAAAGGCTCCCTTCAGAGCTGCCACAGCTTTGTTTGCAGCCATGATTTCTGTGGTTTTTGCTTGACTAGGGTAGAGAAGAAGGTGTATTACTGGTAGGTAACGACGAAAGGACGGCACCAGGCAGACTACTACATACCTGGGTATGTAGACTTGCGTTGATGCGCCAATCTGCAATGTAGGTGTGATTCTAATGAGTATAGTAACTAAGTGGTTTTGTTAGATATGAAGACCAAGGTTTACTATAAAAGTATAGTAAATAGCTAATTTATAGTAAATTTATTATTAAATAATAGTTTACTATAAATTTATAATAAATTTATAAACTATTATAGTAAATATTTAAAGTATTTATTCTTTAATATAATAAAACTAACCTTTATAATATAAAAAATCTATAAAATAAAATAAGTAATATAAAATTATTAAAAATTATAATTTTATTATAAAATTATTTATAATATAATATTAAATTTAATAATTAAAAGTTTTATTACCTTAAATTAATTAATATAATTAATAAAGTTAATAAAAAACTTAAAATATAATATTTATAAAAATAGAAGAATAAAATAAACAAAATTATAAATTTCTTTTAAATTAAAACTTATAAATTTAAAAATTATATTAATTATTAAATAAACCTTTTAAAACTATAAAAACTTAACTTTTAATTTTAAAAATATATAAAGACTATTATAATTATAAAAGTATTATTTTCTAAATTATTAATAAACTTAATAATAATATTAAAAAGTTAAGTTATTTAAAAAATAATAAAATTAATAATAAATATTTAACCTTATTAACATTAACTTTAAACTTTATAATTTAAATTTATAAGGGTATAAATAATTTAAATTAAAATATAAAAAATAAATTATAATTTAAAAACTTAAAAATAAATAATATAAATTATTAATTTAATATGTAAGTTAATATATTATATTTTAAAAACCTTTTAAAAATAATATAAAAATTTATAATAAAAATATAAATAATTATAATTAAATAATATATTAAAAATAAAAATATATATAAAAATACTTTTAAATTATTATAAAGTTTAAAAATATTATATTTTAAATAAATTAATAAAAACTATTATAATAAAAGTTATTTAATAAAAATTATAAAAATAAAATAATTTATTACTTAAATTTATAACTTATTATAAACTTTATAAAGAATATTATTAATATAAATAACTATATTTAAATAAATATAAAAATAGAAAATTATAAATAAAAACTTTATATATTATAATATTAAAAACCTTTTAAAAAAATTATAAACTTTAAATATATAAAATAAACCTATAAAAACTATAAAAAGTATAGATAACTATTTATAATAATTTAAAAACTATAATAATAAAGAGAATATTTATATTATTAAAAAGAAATCTAATTAATAAAATATAAATAACTATATAAATCTTATATAAACTAAAAATATAGTAAATTTAAAATAAAAATCTATTAATTTATATAAAGTATATATTAAAAATTATACTTTTATAAATTACTATTATATTTTCTTAAAAAACTTTTAAAAATTTTAAAAAAATAAAATTATTAAAGAAAATATATAAAGCTTTTAAAAAATATAAACCTATAAATAAAAGTTTAAATTAAAAAAACTTAAAATTAAAATTTAAATTAAAAATATTATAACCTTTTAAAAAAATTAATTAAAAGATTAAAGAATAACTTTTAAAATATTATATAATTAATATAAAAATTAAAAGTTTTATTATAAATATAAAAAATACCCTTTAAAATACTTAATTATACTAAACTTAATAAATATAATATTAATTATAAATAATTATAAAAGATTATTTAACTTAAAACTAACTATATATAATAACTATTTATAAATAAATAACTAATACCTTCTTATTATAATATATAGTATAATATTAATTTATATTAAAAGATTTATTTTATAAATATAAAATATTATTTTATATTTAAAGATTTTAATTATATTAATATTTTAAAATAACTTTAAAGAAAAGTATTTTTAAAATAATAAAGTAGATTTAATTATATTAAAAATAAAATAAAATAATCTTTTATAAACTTATAAATATTTATAGATAATATATTATTAAATATTTAATTTATAAATTAAAAATTATATTTAATATTTAAAGAAAGAAATATATAATATTTATTAAAAGATTATAAATAAATAAAACCTTTTATAATATAAATAATTTAAATACTTTAAATTTAAAATATTAAAATATTTAATAAATACTTTTAAAAGTATAAATTTATAAATTAATAATAATTAAATATAAAATATATATTTTAATTAAAATTATAAAATAAACCTATTATTTATTAAAGGAGATTTTAAATAAAAGTAAAAATAATATTAAACTTTTATAATTATAAGTTAAAAATTTATAATTATAATTTATAATTTTACTTATATATAAAGTACTTAAATATATATAAAATTATTATATAATAAATTAAAATAATAATATAATATTTAAAATATTTAAATTGTTTTTAAAAATAATAAAATTTTAATATAATATAAAAATTAAAATTATTAAATATAATAATAAAATATTTAATTAAAAATAAAAATATTAAAGATTATTTTAAATTAAAATATATTAAAATTAAACTATTTATATTTAATATATAAATATAAAATAGTAGAGTAAAATATTTATAGGATATAATTAAAATAAAAATATAAACTTTATAAATAAATTTAAAGCTTTTAACTTCCTTTTAATTAAAAATTAAATAAATAACTATTTATTTTAATAATTAAATACTATCTTATAATTTAAATTAATAAATATTATATTATTAATTCTTCTTTATTATTATTAGAAAATAAAGAATTCTAAAATTAAATTTAAAATTTAATTAAATCTACTTAAAAGTATTTAATTAAAAACATATAATAATTATAAATATTTAACTTAAAAAATATTAATATTTAAAATTATAAACTTAAATTAACTATTTTATAAAGTATTAATTATTAAATATCTACTAAATATAAATTCCTTTTATTAAAAATAATTAATATATAAAATATAATTTTAATAAATATTAAGTATTTAATAATAATTAAAAAGTTTTATTAATAAACTTTTATTATAAATATTAAATAATTAATAAAATAAATAAAAAAATATACTTTTAAATAATAATAAAATATTAAAATTAAAAGGAAAGAATCTTCTTAAAACTAAAAATTTAAAAGAACTTAATAAAGAGGATTTAAAAGAAATATAAAAAAGTAAAAATAAATAACTTAAAATAAACTAATAAAATAACCTTTATATAAATATTAAGTTTATACTACTCTTTATACTACCTTAATTATTATTATTAATACTTTTAATATATATTATATAAATATAATGAAATAAAAGAAATCTTATTAATTATTAAATTTTAATAAATTTATTATAATAAACTATATTTATAATTAAAATAAAAATAATATTTATAATAAAGTTAAATAATAATATTTTTAATAAAGCTTAAATTAAAAATATTTATATTAAAAATAAAAATATTAAAAAGTAACTTTTAAAACTATTAAAATAATATAAAAATTTAATAAACTATTTATTTAATAATTTATTTAAATAAATTAAACTTAATTATTTATAAAATTATATTAAAATAAAATCTTAAATTAAACTTTAAAAATAAAATCTTTATATAATAGGAAAGTAAATTCTAAACTATATATAAATATATATTTATAAATTTAATAAATATAATATTTTAAAAATATAAAATATAATTTATTATTAAAAAATTAATAAATATAAGAATAAATATAAAAACTTATACTATAATTTAAATAAAATAGTTATTTTATATATTAATTATTATTACTATTAAATTTAATTTTAAACTAATTTAATATAATATAATAAACATATTTATTTATATTTTAATTAATTAAAATATTTTATAAAAATATTTTATAATTATAAAAAATGGTATTATTTTAATATTTAATAAAGTATTATGTAAACTATAAATCTTATTATTATTATAATAGAAAAATTTATAAAAATACTTATTAAACTTAAATACTAATAAATATTATATAAACCCTACTATTATAAAAAAATAATATTTTAATCTTTTCTATATTAATAATATTATTATAATATATTAAAAGAATTAATAAAAATAAATTAATAAACTTACTTAATAACTTTAAAAAAGTATAAAATTAATAAAAGAATTTAATTTAATAGTTTTAAATATAAAGATCTATAAAACTATTTAAATTAATAAATTTAACTAACTTAAATTATATATATAAAAGATTATTAAAATAATTGATAAAAAAACCTTTTATAAAGTCCTTATAATAATTAAAAACTAAAACTATAAACTAAGTACTACTCTATCTTAAAGATACTAAATACCTTACTTTCTACTTTATAAATATAAATAAATTTATAATTATAAATAACTTTTATTAATAATACTATTAATTAAAAAGTTTTAAATATTTATAATAAAGCCATTTAAAAGGATAATTAAATAAAAATTAATAAATAAAATATAGTTATAATATTAATAATTAAGATAGAACTTTTATTTTAATATAAATAATAAAAATATTATTTATAAATAAACTTCTTATAAAATTATTAATAAATTTAAATAAAAAAGAATTAAAATTAAATATAATAATATATAAACTATAAATCTAATAAATTCTAAAATTATTAAATTTAAAATAAAATTATAATATATAAATATTTATAATAATTAGTTATAATAAAAGTTTAAAAGATATTATTAATATAGAATATATTTTATTAACTTAAATAATAATAAATAAATTAATTAAAGTATTATTAATTAGAAAATAAAATAGATTTCTTTAATAATTAGATTTAAAAATATTAATTATTAATAAGAAAATTAAAACCTATTAGAAGATCCTATAAGGTATAGATAAAAAGTAGTAAAAGAGGGTTAAAGTTTAACTTATTATAATATACTAATTTAAAGGGTATATTAAATATAAAAACTAAGGTTTATTATAAAAGTATAATAAATAATTAATTTATAGTAAATTTATTGTTAAATAATAATTTATTGTAAATTTATAATAGATTTATAGATTATTATAATAAATATTTAAAGTATTTACTTTTAGTATAATAAAATTAACTCCTATAATATAGAATTTATAAAATAGAATAAATAATATAAGATTATTAAGAACTATAATTTTATTATAAAATTACCTATAATATAGTGTTAAATTTAATAGGTTTTATTTTTAATCTCTATATATATAAAATATACATAATACCTTTATATAATAGTAAATATTTAAAACCTAACATTTAAAAATATAATATTAATAATAATAAAAGAGAATATAATATATAAGTATATAGTTAAACTTTATACTATATAAATAAAGCTAAAAGTATTACTCTAATAGTATTATATTAAAATTATTAATATAAATAACTTAAAAGTTAATCTATTATAATATTAAAGTTAAAACTAATAAAGTAATTATATAATAAAACTAAAATAATCTTAAAATAACCCTTATAAAAGAAGAATCTTATAATATAAGACTTAATAAGTTAACTCTTTTCTATTAATATACTTATTATATACCCTCCTTAATATAAGGTTAAAAGATCTATAATTATAATTTTCCAACTAATTTTTATTTAACTATATTATATTACTATAACCTTATTTAATCTTTAACCTTATTTAAGCCTTTTTTTAAACTTCTTTAATATTTTTCTCTCTAAAGGAGTTAAATTTAAAAAAAAACCTTTAAACTTAAATTTAAAATTCTTATAAATTTTAATTTCCTTTAAATTAAACTTATAATCCTTTAACTTCTTTAAAAATATATTAACTATTTTCAATATTAATAACTTCTTTTTAAAGTAAAAATCTACCTTTATATAATTATAAACTTAATTATTAATAACTATTTCTTCTTCTATTTATAATAAAATTATTAAAACTATAAACCTAAATACTATATATAATAATAAAATATAGTTACCTTACTTAATTATCTCTTAATTTAATAATATAGTAGGCTAAATAACTACTTTTAAATAGTTTTACTTATAATATAATAGAGCTAATAAATAAATATTTATTTAAGTAGAGCTAGAACTTTAATTAAAGGAATAATAGCTTTTATCTTTACCTATTTTAACTAACTTATATTTAAAAGGCCTAAATTATATAATAATATTATATATAATACTTAACGGTATTAAGACTAGATAACCTACAGTCTATAATAGCTTTAACCTTTAACGGGCTAATAGCGCTAATTTAAACCAATATAGCTTAATATACTAATATAAAAAGGTATCTTCTAATAACAAACAGCGTTATAAATATAGATTATAAAGTTACTATAAAAAATCCTATATAATAAACTTAATTAAACTAATCTTTAAAAGATATATTATATCTCATTCCTTTAGAACTCTAACTATTCGCTTCTAGCTTAGTAGTAGAATTAAAAAAAATATAAATAGTCTATAGTCTATACTTATTATATAACTACTTAAATCTACTCTTATTAAATAAACTAGTATAATCCCTATCCTAAATATATAATTAATAAAATAATAATATTATAATAATAAATCTATTTAAAAACCTTTTATATAAATTTTATAAAAATTAAAACTTTTTTAAAAAGTTAAGTAAAGTTTATTTATTATATATTAAATAAATACTATATAAGAAAAATAGAAATCTAAATATTTAAGAATTAAATCTTCCTCCTTTAAGTATACTACTTTATTATTAAAAATTTATCTACTTCTATATAATATATAAAAAATATAGTGGAAAAAAGAGCCCTATAAAAAAAGCTAGCAACTCTACTATATATAAATAAATTTAAGAGTATATACTAAGTAATTATTAACTTTATACTTAAGGTATAAACTAATAGCTAGTTTAAAAGCCGAGAAGACGACAAATAGACAAATACACAGTTGAACAAAAAATACAATATAGCCGAAGCCTGCAGTGACCGAGAGACTAGGAAAAAAACCTATCCGAGACGCAGGGGTAGGAATCCCTCATCGCTTTTATTGGGTATCCAAGAGCAATCCTGAATGCAGACCAAAACCCGGAAGCCGGCCGATTAGGCGCGCAAACGGCCCCACCCCAGGAAAAGGCCCAACAGACAGAGGGGTCAGGGGTTCTCGATACAACGTTATAACGTGTTGGCTCGCTGCATCAGAACCAACAGCGGCGCCATTCGCAATCGGGGACTTGGCAGGTCGGTTCCCTGATTCAATATATGGGTACTATTCCACGCCCAGAGGCGCATCATTTTCCTATAAAGGCAAGTCACATCGCGGGTGAGATCAGCTTATTGTAGGGAAAAGGTGTTGCACTATAATCTGACTTGGTCTATGGGGACATGTGGAAAGTGAAGGGGCGAGGAGGAGGGTGGTGGAGCATCGGTAGTACAATAGGATCAGAGGTTTGTACACACAAAAACAGAGGGTCCGCCCTTTGAGGTGTTAATCTTATATCAGATTGTCCTAGGATGTTGTTGTCATCTATTAGGGCTTGGGTGTATCCTCCTTCTTTGCGGGTGCGAATCTCCGATCTCCTGAACTCACATGTATTGAGCCATGACCACACCTGGGCACTTAATGACAATGGGATCGTGATGTTAATGTTAGAAATGGTAGAGAATCGGCCCCAAATATGCCATGAAGGACACCAGGACGCTGCTCTTAGGGCGAATCACCGACCTCCACTGAAGTAAGGGTGTGCCGTGAGTATCCACAACCTCGTGTGTATAGTTAAGGTAGAATTGACCCGTCCAGTGCTGTAGTAGTATCAAAAGCTGCCTGATAGTTTGTGATAAGAGACCTCGGGAATCATGTGGCTCGAGTAGCAGCCCTAGGGTGAAGAAATTCTATCTACTACTTCCGATTTCACACACGTGGAAAATGCTATTGACGTCGGTTAATTTAGACAAGTATGGCTACCATAAATTGGAACTTTGCCCCTACATCATCCAGGTCGTACGGGGTATAGCAACAAATCCTACGAGTGGTGTCTGGATTATAAGCAGACGCAGCGGCGTTGCACCATACCGACCGGGTCCGGGAAGTAGAACTTGGAAGAGATGACGGCGTATTTAGACTGGGATAGGGCGGGGGACATGCGCGTTCAAGTTGTCTTTGACGACTGCGAAGACTGGATCCGTGGGCACAGGGGTATGGAATACATCAGGAGGGTGTTGGATAGAGAGATGGGGTTGGACTCGGTGGAGAATAGGGGTATTGGAGAAGCAGAATGAACCGCTCAGACATCTACTGCCAGATGAGTCCCTCGATGCGGTCAAGGAAGTGCCTACCATTCCGGTAGGGCAAAAAAAAACCTCATGCTCCGAGGCCCCTCTTCCGCCACCCTACTGGAGGCTGCATATCTCTTTGATCCGTCGTGATGTCCGAGAGATAACCTCTACCGTCTTCGCCATCTCACGCCTTGAGAATCTTGACCAGCTCAGCAACGATGGCATCTCCTGCTTCTGCGGTGCCGGTGCTGCCGCCCATGTCCTTGGTTCTCAGCCCGGCGTCGATGGCGGCGCGGACCGCGTCCTCGACGACTTTAGCCTCGTGGGCGAGATTCAGAGAGTACCGGAACATCATGGCCACGGAAAGGATGGTGCCAATGGGATTCTGGAAATGAATGTCAGCGCTGTACTCGCAGCGAATAGATAGAAACAGCCTAGAACGGGGTCTCAACGCACAACAATCCCTTTCCCTGATATGTCCGGCGCGCTACCTGTCATGTGCGTTAGCGGCTGATGTCGCCCATGAGGGCTCGAACAGGATAGGAGTCTCACCATGAATCGGCTCATAGATACCAGACACTGCGGAGCTCGGAATCCCGCAGAGACTCGCGCTCGGGAGGAGCCCTATGCTCCCAGCTATGGCGCTCGCCTCGTCGCTGAGAATATCCCCTGAAAAGCCATCAGCTAGACCGCCCCCGATGTGGACGAGGGGGACCGCTCACCTGCCAGGTTTGGCGCAATCATGACGCCGTTCAGCTGCGTCGGGTTCTTGACCATGATCATGGCCGCGCTGTCGATAAGCTGATGCTCAACCTTGAGATCAGGGAACTCGTTCTTGAAGACCTCCTCAACGACACGGCGCCAGAGCCTGCTCGTCGCCAGCACGTTTGCCTTGTCCAGCGAGATGACCCGCGAGTCCCCCCTCTTCCTGGCCAGGTAGCCGCCCAGCCGCGCGATGCGCTCGACCTCTGGTTTCGTGTAGACAGCAGTGTCGAAGGCATCGACCCCGTCGTACTCTTTCCGGGTCCCAAAGTACAGGCCTGATGTCAACTCCCGGACCAGCATCATGTCGGTGCCGCGGCAGACGGACGCCTTCAGCGGGGAGGACTCGACGAGGGCGTCGGACGCGAAGAAGCAGGGGCGGAGGTTCCCGTAGGCGCTCATCTCGCTGCGCAGCTTGAGGAGGCCCTGCTCCGGGCGGACGGCGCCGGTGCCCCACTCGGGGCCGCCGATGGCGCCGAGCAGCACGGCGTCGGCGGCCTTGGCGGCGGCGAGGGCCTCGTCTGTGAGGGGGTTGCCGGTCTTGTCGATGGAGCACTGGGGGGGGGACACGCCGAGCTTAGCAGGAGACTCCTCTCGTGGGTGTCTTTGGGCCCGCGTGGCCTGTCGTCGGGGGACGACTTACCCCTCCGAGCAGGTGGTCCTGGAGATTGAATTTGCCGGCCGTCGGGCTCAGCTCCTCGACCGTCTTGATGACCTGAATCCTGCGTCAGACGTGCTCAGCTGCAGGTCGCAGATACGAGGCTCGTACCTTGATTGCCTCAGCGACAACCTGTCAAACAACCAACGTCAGCCTCTCTCCAGCCAGCCAGAGCTATGGGTGGGAAAGCTCGGGGTGGTGAATCACCTCTGGGCCGCAGTGGTCGCCCGCAAAAACCACAATGTTGTGTTCCGCCATGGTTGCAATACTTGTCCGGCCGAGTTCGTCCAAAGAAGGGTCCGTCTTGTGTGACAAAGCACGAGAATGAGTCGAAGACGAGCTGGGAGGCGGGTGGTCCGACGGAGAGAGGCAGAGTTATGACGAACGTGGTCGTCTCCTGTATGAGCAGCCGTTGAATTGGAAAGTCTCCGAAAACCGGAGGACAGGCACGTGATAGTGGCCGTTGAGCCAGCGACCAGGCCGCAAAGCGGCAGGGAAAAGGAAGGTTCACTTGAGCGTTTACGGCGTGCTCCAAAAGTTTTGGTGGGGCCAAAAGTTTTGGTAAAAGTTTTGCCGCTGGCAGACGACGCGCTGCTATGTGCGGGGGGATCTAGTCACGTGATCTTATATCAACACAACCTGCAAATCTCCCAGCCAGCGTCCACCTATCCACGGGCCACCATTTACATCCACCTACCTATTAATTTTTAATAGCCTACCTAGTATAAGATTTTAAGTATAACACTTATATAAACCTTTATATTTAATTAAGATTGTTTAAATATTTAATATTTAAAATATAAACCTTTATACCCCTTTTAAATATTATTATATATAACTTTTTTATACTCTTTTAAATATATTTTTTTATATTTATTATAACTTATTTATTTCAAATATAAATTAATTATTTAAATATTATTAATACTTTTTAATATTTAATAAATATTAAAAAGTTAATAAATTAAAAAGTTATAATATTAAAAGAAGTAATAAATAATTAAAAAAATAACTTTTATTTTATTTTAAACTTTTAATTTTTAAATATTTACTTAATATTTAATTATTACTTAATACTTAAATATATAAAACTTAAAAAAAGTATTAAAGAGTTAAAAATATATTAAAAAAAGTATTAAAAAAGTATTAGAAAGTTTATTAAAAGAGGATTATATTTAAAATATTAAAAATTATAGAAGAAAATAAGAGAAAAACTCTTAATATACTCTTAGAAGGTACTTATATATAGCTTCACTTCTATTCTATATATATCTAAGGATATATATAGCGCCTTCATATAGTAGTAAGTACTTAAAACCTAGCACTTAGAAAGAATATAATACTGATAATAATAGTTATAATATAATAGGTGCTTATAGCCTTAGCCTTACGACATACAGTACTTATATATATAAATAAGTTACTAGTATCAATAGATATTAGGCATGTTACTAAAAATCTATAGGTAGGTGGACGTTGGCTGCAAATCTCCCCGTGAGACAACAGGATTTCCCTTTTCCGGTGCGGATAGCCGTGCCACCTGCATATTCTGCAAATTCCGAAGACAGGCGCAGCGATCAAAGCCGCCCGAGCAGCCGGCCGCGAGGGCTCCTGAGCCAACGGCCGAGCAGGCCCCGAAGCCCATCTCCGATACCTCGAGCCCTCTCTGTTACTGGTTGTTTGTAACCAAATCCAACCCGTCTCTGTACGTGTGCAAGAGGAACTAAGCCGCGACTGGACGGAAAAGAGCCGAAGTCACCTGGGCTAGCAAGCCATACAATACGAGCGCCCTTCCGAAAAACAGGCCCTGGCGCCGACTGTGGCCCAGTCGAAATTCTGCTAGGTGGCCGAAAGACCCTCCTCCCGACTTAGCAAAACTGGAGTTCATGTTCATGAGAACAATGAGACTATTGTCTCTGGCCTTACAACTAGACTATCCAGACTTCTCGATTCGTTCTCTTGCTCATCTGGGCCTCAACCGCATGGGGCCTTGCCGAGTTGTCGACAACATGATCAGCAGACCTTGCCCATCGTCCACGACCTTAAACTTTTAGACCACTGCTCTTCGCCGCGGTGAAGGCAGACCGTATATGCGGACCGAATGCATCTCGATTCAAACTGAATTTAGCCTAAGTAACGCCCTTAAGGAGTATAATCAAGAGAACGGAAATCCGCGCACCTACAATCGAAAGGCGCGCATCTATCTACTAACTAAGAAGTATTCTATATAAGATGACTTCTTCTTAAAAGAGCCGACTAGGGTAAAGGGGGTAAGCCCTAGAGTGTAAAGTATAATAGAGGGCCGTAAATAGAGCCGATAGGTATAACCTAAGTTCCTAAAAGACTAATCTACTTTATTTATAGTCCCTTAATTATAAAGAAGGCTTATTTATTAAAGTTATAAAGACTTTAAAGTTCTATACTCTAATTAGCTAAATAGTAGGGAGGGTGTGTACCTTTCGATTGTGGGTGTGTGAATTTCCGTTCTTATGATTAAAGTAAGTAGCTATGATCAGATATGCGGGAACAAAGGGTGCGCCAAACCCGGCTTCAGTGGCTCAAGATTTTGCAAAGATCACCTCTCTACATGGCGCGACCCAAACCCCCTTGAAACAGACCTCCCACAACTTCAAAAACTACCCTAACTAGGGCATGTCTCTCCGTTTTTGCAGGTCAAGTGGTCCGACAAACCTGCCATCGGAAAAGCCCTTGCACTCATGGACTCCATTGGGGCCGGGATGTCGCCTGCCTCAGCGCTCAGATTCGTCGATCTTGAGCATAACATTTTCACAGGGAGAGTATTCGAAATTGGCATGTGCGATGCTTATGGAACTAAGACGACGGACTGCCGGACCATGTATGGAGCCAAAGCCTTCCGAGCAACCAGTCTCAAAGGCTCCACTGCTGATTGCAACATGGATCACATGATAATGAAGTCGGTCCAAGCCCATCACTGCACTCAGGGCCCAAAAATTGCAAAGCAGATTGCAGACGAGCCAAGGCGGCAAAGGCACCTCGCAGGAGCCTTAGTTCATAGCGTGGCACTTCCACACACATGACCTATCACAATTGCGCGAGTGTACAGTGGGAGTGCGACTGCTAAGTCACAAGCTCTACCATCCAGCCAAAAGACCATAATAACCAATATGGTGGATTGGCTATTCCGTAGCAGTTATAAGTACCGTGCCGTCACTGTGGAAATTGCAAGTAAAAGCTACTTCGTCAAAGGCATTCTTTTGGCTATGAAACGACTGCTGTCATGGCTTGACTTCCCTGGAAAAACTTCAGGAGAGAGGTTTCCAACAGGTGGTGTAGCTTTCGTCTCTATGTCCTGATTTGCCATTTCGCAAATGCTAGGTTTGAGCAGCGATTCCATCACACCCGGTTCTAGCCTCAAAAGATGGTTGATGAATAGTTACGGCTAAAAGTCTCCTTTGCAGCATTCGAGAAACCATAACAGCGATTATAATGGTACAGCGTTTATTTTTGTACCAAGAATTGCCAATTCGGTCTGTCGAGGAGCTAGCAGTCCTCGCCCTACCGTGGTAGAAGATGTAGTACTGGTAACCTTGGAATTCTTCAAAGTTCATGCCTAATTTAGTGCTGAGCTATAAGTAGTGCCTGACCCCTGCAGCAGGTCTTTGGCTTTGTAGGGGCGTGAAACGAATGCTATTGACTGCTTGCACCGAAGACCGGCTGATCAAGAGATCAGAATTCCAAGTCAAAGACTTGACGAACTCCCAAGCAGTATATAAGCCCAGTCGTAACATGAAGTTCGAAATTCGTTATTCTGATGTAAGTCTACTAATGAGTGCTTAAAAGATCACCCGCGGGAGGGACTCAGCTCCTAGTGGGGCTTCATCGGTTGCGAGTCAGCTTAGTCGGCCGCCGAGCCCACCATGTGGGCTTTTCTTAATCATTACACAAACGAGGCTGGTTACCCCTTCCTACATCAAACCACTTATGCATGAGGGCCAGGATTTATCATCTGGTGCAGGTATATTCCACTGCGGTTTGATCTCATCATCAAGGGCCAGGACTCGTTTTTGCTGCCACTTCTCACACCGCAAGTCCACCCAATCCCCTTCTCAACTCAAGCTCCTTAGATGTTGCCCGCGTGGATTGACTTTTGCTAATGATTGTGTGGTCTCCCCGACATAAGCTACATCTCGGGCGCTTACACGGTGGATATAAAGTGTACGACAAAGAGCGCGCCAAGGTCTCGTACTGGTAATATGTAAGACTTGGTCACTCTGCGGACAAGTGCGGCCAATTTGCGGTCTGAAGATCTGCAGATCTACCACCACGGCGCAAAAGCTTATTATGTGGTCCTCCGGTCACCCGCCTGCATGCTCCACCGGCCGGGACAGCCAGCTGCCGGCCAACCCGCACCAGCATGTGCGTATCTATTATCGAGTCTAACAGCGTTACTGTCTCCCTCGCCGGATACACAGTCATTACCAGGCCAACATAGCTTCTAAGCAGTGTACACAGTTTTAGTATATCAGAATCTGTCGTGTCGCAGTGGTATGAGCTACGAAAATTATGCCTGCTGGCCAGAACCCTCCGAGCGGCGAGCCCTCTACTCTTGAGTACTGCCCAGGTGGCTAGTGGCTGAATTCGGGAAATAACGCATAGAGTGTGGGTCCAAATAGAGCGAGAGGCTGGGGTCGTACCTCATCACTACTTGACCCAACCCAGTACTCACTCTCCCTATTTGTCGAGAATTACAAAAACTGGGGACTGATAGGATAGATTCGTGCTGTCGCGCTTTCCCTGTCACGATTCCCTTGGACGAGAGTCAGCATTTCCATGGGTGAGATGACCAGCATTGTCTTGAACAAGAGTCATGAGAACCTCTCCATCCAGCTACCGGTCAGCATACCGGGTAGAGGAAAATTGATCCACCCAGAATTGACAAAGTTTCGTCTACATTGTCTGCCCAGGGATGGTGAAACTTGAGTTCTGGCGATCAACCTTGGCCGCCAGATTTATTTAAACCAAAACGACCCAGCTGTGCCGCCAGGCCTTGGATGGGTTTCTCAGCCCACACACTCGATCAAAATGCTGAACCCCATAACAGCAACAACACACCTCCTGGGCCTGCTGGTCCTCTGGCCCCAGGCCGCCAGCTCCCAGGGCGTAACCAAAATCCCGCAACCCGGGGGCTACGGCTTGCTCGAGTGCCTGGCCAAGCCGCAGAGCAAATTGACCTCGGGCGTAGAGATCTACCCGGCGGGTGACGTCGTGACCATGGAACTCACAGGCGACTACCTACGCGCGACCGGCACTGTCGAGGGTGGCCTGTACCTCGGCTACATGATGCGCGAGGGCTACACGAAGATCTTGCGCACCTATAAGTCGACTGATGGTGCGGCGTCATGGCAGAGGCTGGGGGATGTGGCGCGCCGTGACAACCGCACCGGTGAGCTGCATAACGCGACGCCGCTTCTGCTCCCTGTTGGATTCCCCGGGACAACCAACAGCTCGGATGAAGACGCGCCAGCACAGGGGGGCGAGCAGCAGCAGACTCAAGGCAGGATCCTCTACGCCTACCGGAACCATGACAGGTCCCTTGACAACCCCAACGGCATATTTGATAACTACACCTACTACCGCCTCACTGTATCCGCATCTGATGATGGCGGAAACACCTGGTCATTCCTGAGCGATATTGAGGCCCTGCCTGCCAATAAAGGGGGTGCATTCCTTAATGGGATATGGGAGCCATACCTACGGATCAAATCCGACAACACTACACTACAGGTATTCATTTCACTATTCATGTTGATTCTTTCGAGCTCCTATACTAAACTGGCACAGGTATACTACTCAGCTGAAAACAATGCTACCGATCAGGACACCATCATGCGGGAGTCAAAAGATGGGGGCAAGACATGGGGTAAACGGAACGTTGTCACAGGCGGGGACAGGATCAGAAGTCGTGACGGGATGACCAGCGTTGCCAGGCTCGGACCCGGAAACGGAAGGGATGGGGACAACCCCAACTTAATCCTGTTCTTTGAGACAAATGAGTCGGGTCGCTTTGACCTACGGCGTGTTCTCTCTGACGACGACGGGAAGACGTGGCGCCAGGAAACTAGAGCAAGGGTATACGACCCGGTCGATGAGGAGCGTCAAGCTTCTGCACCATCTAACATAATCAACGTCGGGGGTGTGCTCGTTGCCGGCTTTAACACAAACGAGAAGTCTATTACCGACACAGCCATCCCTGGCAATTTCCTAGTCGTCGTTAGTACGGATAACGGGCAGACTTGGAGTGAGGGGTTTCTTATTGCACCCGGGGCTAGCTGGCCTGGGTTGTACACGCTTGGGGATGATCGTTTTTTGGCCACGTACAGTTATGATTCGCCTTTGGGCGAGCTCGTGGCTGCTACTCGGGTCTTCACGTTGCGGACGAATGGAACGGTGCCTCCCCTGGCGTCGAACAAGAGTGACAGTGATAGAATCACTTGCGGCAACTGGATAGCCGTCTTCTTGGGACTGGCGACGCTGCATTACTTTGTTCACCTATGATTTGAAAGCCAGGAAACAACAAGATAAGACATATAAAGCTAAGAGATAGAATATAAATTTAGCGGGAAATACCAACTCGTCTAGACTGTCCACGTACTGTTGCTGGGACTAGACGTGGTGTAGATGACTAATATAATCATGAGTTGCCCTGATTTGGCCGGCGGAACCTCCTTCACACCCAATGACTGGCGCAAATAAGACAACATGGTCATGCATTTTAACCTTGACTACGCAGAATTCTTGTTTTGTTCCCTAGGCTGGCAGCACCTCTTTATCTTTTAGGTCTATCCTCGGCGATCATGCTCCGGAGATGTAGTTATGGGGCGTGAGGATTCCCAACTGACAAAAGCAGGAAAGGTAGGGAGAGGCACATACTGAATCCCTCAGTCCGTATACGAGCTGTGTCCGGCTGCCAGAAATAATATTGGACTCGTCTCAGGTACAGCTCATTCGCATCGCCCACGCAAATGCCAGCGTGGCCACCGCTTTGTGCGTAACCCCTGTGACTCCGCACCTTCCAGTCAAACTCACCCAAGCGGAGAGGAATATTCAGAGACTATGTCATGATGATCTGAAACGACGTCCGCAAGACGATGGGCTATGGACTGTGAGGTGCCGTTTTGGGCGCAAGCGACTGGGGACAGCACCACGATAGACGGCTGTAGTGAAATCACCTACCACAGCGGTGATCCTGTGTCGACATGTAACGCCTGGAGATCGTACGCCTGATAGTGCTTACATCTTGTCAGAACCGCGATATCTGAGCCACTCATGTGTAGCAATCTAGATATCGTTTCGTGGTCACTGAGTCGTCAATCATAGACCTCGGGACCGCGTAGAAGGTGCGCGGGTTCAACGGCCCATTGCCCCCCATACATATGCGCTCTCGGACCAACTGTACCTTCCATTCTCACCATATCCTGAAGATTATTGAAAACTAACATACTGGGCTGTTTTGTTTTGATTATGTTAAGAAGCTATACTATACGAAGAAAGTTACCCGAAACCAGATGGGACGTCGCATATGCAGGCGTCGGCAGAAACATCGTCATGCGGGTCTGCCCTGACTGTCGCATAGTAGTGCGGGCGGTCAACACACGACCTCGGAACTCACAATACTTCGGCAATCGACTTTTCACAAGGAAACCTTGGGAATCACGCAACGGCTGGAGCATGTGAGAACATCATCTCGCACCCGCATGACTATTGTTGTCCTCGTGATGACGGACTTCGACATACTCTGACGCTGAAGACACGATGCGACATGACATAGTAAAACTAACCCATAAGAAAGTATCTGGGAATTTTAGAAAAGAAATCATGCTTGGAGATCCAGCAGGGGATTCTCCATCTACTTGGTGGTGAGCTCTTTGGTCATCCCGTACACTGGCAGAGCTACCAGATTTGGCCACATTGTACTTTTTTGGATCAACTGTGCATTCGTTTATTGGTTATCGTTTCAGTCTTTAAACTCACTGTCAGTCTATAGACAACTTTTATACAAGTTAATTGTCACTCCTTTTTATAGACCTACCCAGAGATTTTTCCGTTGACTGTGGTGGTAAAAGCGGCGACGCACCCAATGTTACCTATGGCTTCCCAGGTTCCTTAGGTGTGATTTTATTGCACAGCTTGGCTATGCTGCACAACACCATACCCGGAATCAGCCTAGAGAATGCCGAAGTTGTTTGTACGCACAGGATTCTACTGTTAGCCACCACCACCTTCCAAATTAGTAAATCAGAGGGTGGAGTTTTCTCATCTCTGTCCTCGCGGCCTTCGCCACCGCGAACTCCACCACCGACGTGGCGACCAACAAGCCCAGCCGGAATGCTCAAGACAACCTTGGCAGAGCGACACGATCGAGAGCAGGGCTGAACGCACGACCATGCGAATTCTGCCCTTCCCATCAACAAAACGAAGTAAGGACCAGCGTTGAAAAGCGGGCGGAGAGCACTGGTGAGGTTTCGGAGTGAGTGGGACGGGAGGTAATAGAGGGGGTAAAGATACGACGTATAGTGGTCAAAAATACGACGTATAGACCGTGACATATCGGAGGAAGTGGCGCAGATAAACAGATGGATACCTTTTGCAGCGTAGCGTGGCGTGGGAAGCTGATAGAACACTCCCTACTTGTGGAGGCGTGGTCCCTATAGCCAACTTGAAGTACATTGTTCGTGACATCACTAATCAGAACACAAACGTGGCTTATACGCCGCGTCTGATATTGTGGAAGACCCTTCGCCACGCGAAAAGTTTCACTTATCGCCTGGCACCGTCCAACCGTTGAGGCCGTGCTTGATCTTTCACCCCACGAAATCCGGTTTCATAAGGCTTTCATAGGTCACTTCGCAGGTCATAAGGCCCACATGCTATGGCACGGGCTTGGCTGACAGGTCCCCAATGTAATGCGGTGACGCATGGAAATCGTATTCGTTCGGAGCGGTCCGGGGCAATGGCTGGCACTGACTAGCCTGACTAGACTGCTTTGGTTATGCAACCGGGGCTAACGCGTTGACGTGTTTTAGGGGACGCTCAATCCAGGAATTTTTTGAGACCCGTGAACTTCATGCGACGACATCCCTGTCAAGGCTTCCGTCTACTTAGCGCCCGAGGACCCCGAGGGTGTATATGATAAAAAGACCCGTTATAAAATACTCCCGTTCCAGCCGCATGTCATTCAAACAAGAATGACATTAAGCAAGAATGACATTGCGGTGGACGGCGCTTGTCCCAGCTTTTGCGTCGGCTGTCGTTGTTGCTCTCAGCATCATCTTGCTTGTATCAGGGGCAACTCCTGCAGTTGCTAACGATGACTTTTGGTTGTCTGTACGTCTCTTATACAACTTTCCCCTAATAATGGTTGATTCAGATCCAGGCTGACGTATGCATCACCAATTTCGATGATCAACAGGTGAATGTGTCTAGAATCGGCCAAGACCTCATACGGATAACACCAACGAACACTTCTTCATCTGCTCCCGCGTCTTCAGGTGCTCCCGCGTCTTCAGGCAACCCCGATGCCTCGTCCAATTCAGCTCAAGAAAATGCTCTTCAATGCGTTCTTGGGAACCTGACAGCATGTACTCAACCGCCACCCCTGCCAACCGTCCCGCTGCCAACTGTACCGCTGCCAACTCTAGCAGTGGTGCCGACGCGTGCTAGTACCAGTGACGGCAACGCAGCGACATCTGGAGCAGCCTCTGCTGTGTCGTCTCTTGACAGTCTTTTGAGCGTGTCATCGACAGACCCAAGAAGCGACATTTACAACCTTTACGTCACTAAGATCTGCCAGGGAAATTTCACGGACGAGAAGAACCCAGACAGCGACTTCGTCACCACGGGATGCTTCTCGTACTCGGACAAGAAAAATGGCCTGGGACAGCTCCTTGACGTGACCAGCTCCATCCCTTCGTCTCTAGTTGTCGCCAACACTGTAAATATATCGGTTCCAGCATTGGCGGGAGTACAGAATGCTATATCGACCGTAATATCCGGCGTCGGGTCTGTCTCCAAGGTTATCTTGGCCCTCATCATTATCCGCATCATAGCCGGCACGCTGGCGCTGGCTGGTTCGGCCCTGCTGTTCCTTGACATCAGGCGCTTCATCGTCTTCACCATGCTCACCTTCGCAACGCTGGCCAACGTGTCCCTGCTGCTCGCGGCCGGCATCACAACTGGGGTCATCATCCTGCAGGCGCAGAGCATTAGCGGGCTTGCCGAGGCACTCAGCGTGGAGGTGCACTACGGCACCAATTTCCTAGTTCTAGAGTGGGTGACTGCGGCATTCGCGATTGCGGGCAGCGCGTATTGGATGATTGTGTGGTTTGTCGACTACAGGACGCTGTCCTTTTCGAGGAGGACTCGGGATGACAGCCAGATCGGCAACTGGAAGGAGATGTGGTCTGAGCTGAAGCAAGATTTCCGTGGAGACCAACCAAAGGAAGATGTGATTGAGTCTCGCGAATACGTTTCTGATTGAACCCACCTTAACATCAGTACATTCATACTCAATAACAGGGAAGGCTATCATCTGGCACAGATGAACTGGCCTGAAGACCATACCGGAATTGAGTTTTGCGCACGCACAGCGCCCACCGAGAGCTATTCGATGGGCTGGTCCACATCGATTCCGACTTCTACTTTTCCCCCAAAACACAACCAGCGCGTATACCAGAGGCCTAACCAGAGATTCCACTCAAATCAGAGTGTTTCCTTGGCAGAGGTTGGCAGGGGTATAAAACGCTGTTCTACATCGAAGATGCCAAGGGCGAAGCATGGACTGCCGGATGTCATGTGTGTTTTAGAGGGCAATTGTTGTCTTCTTGGGTTGCCATAGAAAGCCCACCAGATAGACTGTCTGATACATTGTCCTCTTCCAGACCAGGGAACCAATCTAACCGCACGCCGATCAGTCCTTCAGGAAGCGCAAGAAGGCCTGTGCAATGACGATACCATCATGCTGGCCCAAGGCCCTCTTCATAGCGTCATCAAACGGACCATCCAGTATGATACCGGATTGGTGGTGTGCCCGAAGCATCTCGGCCATCATGAACTGAGGGAACTCGGGGTGTCCCTGAACCGTGAAAAGTCGGCCAGGGATGTACATGGCCTGGGTCGGACAATGCCGCGATTGGGCAAGGGGCATGACGGTGGGTGGATACTCGACAACCATATCCCGATGTGTTTGGTAAACCTCCTATAGGTCATTGTTATTTGTTGGACAGCGTTCAAATATGGTTCCATCTATCCGCAAGGTATCGCCCGTATGACACCACGTTTAAAACGACAAAATACATCTGCTTACCAGCTTCCCCGTCCCGAAAACAGCTTTTCCCGTTTCCGTCAGCTGTATTTCTGTGAGAGAAAGCTCCCATCCCCAAGGTGACGGCGCAACTGTAGCACCCAGTGCGCGTGCAATGATCTGGTGCCCAAAGCACACCCCAATAACCCGAACGTGGCTGTCAGTGAGCAGCAGCCGGCGTATGAAGTCCGTCAAGCGGAGAACCCAGTCGTAATCATCATATGCGGAGTATCTTGAGCCTGTGACTAGCACTGCGTCGATCTCCTTGGGGTCCGGATATGCTGTGGTAGAATCCCCGGATACGACATCATGAGCCGTTAAAGTGAGCTGTGAGCCGAGCGTTTGTGGCGGGTCCTGGCTTTTGCAGGCCGCTTCGAACATCGATGTAAAGATCGCACCGAATCTCCCAAGTCTCTCTACTACGCTCGGCAAAGGCTCGTCTGCCTCTAGAATAGCTAGGCGGATCGGGGCCGAGGGACCTACTGAACCCATAATCTTGTTGATGGAAGTCTCGAGAAAAAAAGAAATGAGAGCAGAAGGACGACGAAGAAAGGATAGCCATGCACTCGTGGGAAACATGTTTGAACCCGGGTTTAAGGCCCCCAACTGAATACGCACATAATAAAAAAGCAAAGTTTTCGCACACATATACCAAAGTACACGGCAGGGGGTGATCTGCAAGGAAGCGGCGAAGCGTCAGATGGGAGCCCGGTGGCTGAGCCAACGATGACGCCCTATATTAAGGAGAATCCTGCCACCATTTCTTTCATCTCTAGGGAGGAGAATTCCTAGGGAGTACGAATCAGCAACATCGGTCAGAAAACCATACGGCCGCATTTACCCTATGGGGTCACCGAATAAGTGCTTAGGCAGGATGATGTCCAGGGCAACCAAGAGCGGTCTCCGATACAAACTGAAGTTTGATTTGCCACCAAAGGTCTAAAGCCATTCGAAAAACCCGTTTTATCCTTTAAAGATAACCGATAAATAGCCTTTCCAAAATTAAAATCTAAACAATTCATGCTCGCTGACTCTTCCGGCTGATGCAGCATGCAACTGACCCGTGAACGGACCGCCTTGGCATCATTTTGACTGTCTCACCCCACCAATCTCCTCATCCGATGTTGCCTCAGCCAAGACAACTTCCTTTATCGTGATATACTGACTATGCGCCCTGATCCTGTGGCCATATTTGTACAAGACCCAAGGCACCGGCACCAAGGCCACCGACACAAAGCCGAGCAGACTGCTCGCCCACCCGATCCCCATGGACGAGAACATCTGAACGGTAAACAGCGGGAACGAACCCCCTGCAGCATACCTCAGCAGACTGTTCGCACTGAGCGCGCTCGCGCCGTGCAGCGACCCGTACGAGTTCATGATGTACAACGCGCCGCTGCTGTAGATCATAATGTTGCCGACCGCGAACGGCACGGCCGCCACCACGGGGCTCGCCCAGAAGACCCCCTTGTCGGCGCACCACCCGAACCAGAACAGGCTGGCCGGGTTGAGCGCGCAGCCGGCCATCGCCCCGTAGAGGCGATACTCGGGGGGTACCATGCCGACGCCGTACTTGGCTTCCAGCGCAGGGTACGTGCGGCGGTCTATGTACACCACCGCAAGGAAGCCCAGGACACAGCCGAGGGCGATGGATATGAAGGTGAGGCCTTGCTGGCCGGGCGTGAAGCCGTAGTGCCCTCCGAATATGTAAGGGAAGGCGGCGAAGAAGCTGTAGAAGACGGCGAAGTTGAAGGCCATGTAGATGGTCATGAAGAGGACGATGGACTCGACGAAGAGCATCTTGAATGGTTTGAGGACGATGCGCTGGACCAGGGCGCTTGAGGGCAGTGCGGACTTTGCGGTATGTGCTTGGGTATCTTGGGGCTGCTTTTCCGCCCGCATGCGCTTCTGGAGAATCGTCTTCTTGTAGGTCTCGAACTGAGGCAGAGCGTAGAGGTAGTTGAATGCAACCATGAATAGTATTACCCACTCAAGCCATCGAAAGCCCTTAGCCTCACTCAGGTAACCGCCAATAACCGGCCCTGACCTAGTCAGTATATGGAATCATCTGCCATGGGGATGGAACGTAGTGGAGAGTGACATACCAAACGCAGGTCCAAGGAAAGGCGAAACAAAGTAGAATGGATATACCAGCCCGGCGAGTTTAGGCGGCCAGATATCCGCATTGGTGCCTCCGCCAACCGAAACGACGGCGCTTCCGAAGAACCCAGCAAGAAAACGACATGCCAACAGGGTCGAAAAGTTGTGAGCGAGACCGGAGCCGAGAATGAACAGCCCAAAGATTGGCACAGTCGTGAGATACACAATCCTGCGGCCGTAATACTCACTGACGGGTGCCGCGATGATCGCCCCGAGGCCGAGAGCCCACAGGAACAGGGACAGCCCAAGCAAGGCTGCTGTGTGGGAGACGCCGAATTTCTGGGCGACGTCGTCGGCTCCGGAGGTATACACGGACGAGGCAAAAGATCTGTTAGAGGCAACATTTAGCCCAATTGGATTGGAGTCGATAGGATCTTTGGAAAAGCCTACACGTTGACGCAGAGCAATGCAGGGATGCTGGTCATGTAGAGGCGCTTCCACATGGGCCAGTTATGAGGACAGTCCGGATCGTCCGGCCCCGTCCATTCTAGCATTGATTGTTCGGTTGATCTGGGCTGAAAAGTAGCCATACTGTATGAGATAATGGACAAAGGCTTGGACGACCACACAGAGGGCAGAGAGAGATTTGGAAGACATAAGCTTTTATTACCCATGCGAAGGGCATGGGAAATGAGTCACATTGAGCTCTTAGTAGTATTAAGATGGAGCGGCCCCGTAACCGATAGAGACCAAATGCACTGTTGGCAATTCCTATCACGTAACGAGTTCCTGACAACCAACACTGCTGCGATCAGGGCCGCCGGTTCTGTTGCAAGCACCGAATCTGACATGTATTACCCGGAGAATATCAAGTGCCATCGGAGGTGGAGCTAGAAGCAGGGGGGCCGGGAATTAAGGGCACTCTAAGGTAAGTGACGACAGATGTTCAAATATCCAAACAGGTGCACCATCAACGATTATTAATGATGCCCTACGTTCCAAGGACAAGTATTATATCTAGACTGCATTTTCAGTGAGGCAGACTTAATAAAATAAAAGGTGAATATTAAATTTTTACAGCAGCTTCAAAATTCTGATTCAACATTAGAAGAGTTTGGAGTAAGATACAAATCATCCCAAGCTCCTGGGTATTTGGGCTGGGCGAGATGAATGACCAAACTGAAATTTTCTAACCATTTGTTGACGTCGTCCGATCAATTGTCATTGCATATGCACACGAACTTTCTATCGAACACTGCATGTCCGCCTTTCGGAATTTCAACCCCCGCCTTGGAACTCGGTTTAGCATCGAAACGAATCACCCCGCTGATCACAAGCTTCCTAAAGGTTCGCACACTAGCACGTAGTCTGCCCTAGTATTACGGATAATCCGTGATTAAGACACTTAACTAGTAGTATTTACATTCCATACCTAGGTAGATATATAGCGGTTTTATATAATAGTAAATATTTAAACTTAAATATTAAAAACTTTACATAATTTATTATAATAATAGAGATATAATAAATATATTATTCTTTTAAAATAGTTTTAAATTTTATAATTTTTTAAAAATTAAAAAGTAATAAAAATTTAAAAGTTTATATTAAAAATATTAAAATATAACTTAAATCTTATAAATTTAATAATTATATTTTTATTTTTTAAAATTTTTATTAATTAAGGAATAAAAATATAAGTTAAAGTTTTTAATAACTTTATTTTTTAATAAATATATAATAAAGGTACTTTTTATTTAAGTTAAAACTTTTATTTTAAAGTTTTTAATTAGTTAAAATAACTTTTTAATTCCTTTATATAATTAATTAAACCTCTTTTAATTAATATTAACTTTAATTAATCTTTAATTTTAATTAACTTATTTTAATTTAAGGTAGTAATATATTATTAAAGTAAATAAATAAAGTAAATAAGTAAAGATAAAGTATTATTATATTTTTAATTAATTATAACTTAATATTTATTAAAGAAAAGTTATTAAAAGACTTATAGTTAACTATTAATTATATATTAATTATTCCCTTTTAGGTATAAGGTTAAAAGACTTATAATTATAATTTTATAATTAGTTTTTATTTAACTATATTATATTATTATAATTTTATTTAATTTCTAACTTTATTTAAGCTTTTTCTTAAACTTTTCTAGTTTTTTTTTCTTTAAGGGAGTTAAATTTAAAAGGGAGTCTTTAAGCTTAAGTTTAAGATTCTTATAGATCTTAATTTCCTTTAAATTAAGCTTATAATCTTTTAGCTTTTCTAGAAATATATTAATCGTTTTAAATATTAATAACTTCTCTTTAAAGTAGAGGTTTATTTTTATATAGTTATAAATCTAATTATTAATAGCTATTTCTTCTTTTATAGAGCTATTAGATCTATAAACCTAGATATTATGCGTAGTAATGGAGTGTAGTTACCTTACCTAGAGGTTATCTCTTAGTTTAGTAGTGTAGTAGGCTAAGTAACTACTTTTAAGTAGTTTTACTTATAGAGCTAATAGATGGGTGTTTGCTTATAGAGTAGAGTTAGAACCCGTATATATTCCTTAGGGGAATAGTAGCTTTATCTTTACCTATTTTAACTAACTTACCTAAATTATATAGCAACCTTATATATAGTGCTTAATAGCGTTAAGATTAGGTAGCCCATAGTCTATAATAGCTTCAACCTTTAACAAATTAGGTATAGCCTAATATACTAGTATAGGAAGGTATCTTCTAATAATAAATAGTATTATAGATAATAATAATAGATTATAAAGTTATTATAAAAAGTCCTATATAATAAACTTAATTAAGTTAATTTTTAAAAGATATATTATATTTTATCCTTTTAGGACCTTAACTATTTACTTTTAGTTTAATAGTAAAATTAAAAAAAAAATATAAATAATTTATATATTAATTATTATTATAAAAAGTAGTAATAGTTTTATATAAAGATAGTAATAATTTTATATAAAAGTAGTAATAATTTTATATATAAGTAGTAGTAGTTCTATATTTTAATTAATTATAATTAAATATTTATTAATTAATTATTTAAAAATAACTTTTATAAGCTTTATAGTAACTATTTATATAATATATTTAATTTAAATATTTTAATATAAAAGAATTTAAAATATTATTATAATAATAATATTAATTAAAATTTTAAATATAAATAATTTTAATTTTAATAAATATAAAGTAATTATAAAATATAAGTATATTTTAAAATAATTATTAAATATTTAGTTTTTAAAAAAATTAAAATTATAAATTCTTAAATTTTTTAATATTTATAACTCTATAATTTATATTAAGCTTATAATTAAAATTAAGTAGAATAATACTTTAGTTTATTTTAAGTAGCTTAATAGAAGTATATAAAAAGTTACTAAGTGTTGTTATATGTATTTTAATACTGCGGAGGGTAAGTATTAACTCTAGGCCACATGATAGCGACAGGGTGTAGACCTAGAACTCTAGTGTTTTAACTAACGAGACTAGTACCCGGGGGTTAGACCTTCGGTTGCCCCCTACGCCTCCCGGCGTAGGGGGTGCCAAAACCCCCACACAGCCAAAACCCCCACACACTTAGGAAGAATAAAACACTATACTTAAATTAGTCTAACTTACTTAAATAAAAATAGTATAATATAAAAAAAATAGTTTTATAAACCTTATTTTTTAAGAAATTTAAATAAAATAGATATAAAATTCTAGGGTTAGGGTTTAACTAGATTTTATTACTTCTTTATATTTATATTATTATAAATATTAACTTTAATTAATTTTATATAAATATAAAAAATATATTATTATAATCCTTATAGAATAAAGAATATTTATAAAATAAGAAATAAATTCTAGGGTTAGGTTTTATAACTTATATAAAGTATATAAAGTAAAGAAAATAAATAAAGTAAATAAAATAATAATTTTATTTATTAATTTTATTTATTAATTCTATTTATTAATTCTATTTATTAATTCTATTTAATAATTTTATTTAATAATTTTATTTAATAATTTAAATATTAATATTTAATTTTATTATTTTAATATAAAATTAAAGTTAATTTTAAATTAATAAATTTTATTTATTTATTTATTAATTAATTTATTTATTAAATAAACTATTTATTTATTATATATTAAAAATTAAAAGTATTTATTAAATAAATATAATAAAACTTTATATTATAAATTATTTTATAAATATATTTATATATATATAATAGAGCTAATATTTACTTACTTAATAATTATATCTATTTATCTAGTTTTTTTTAATTACTTACTTAGTATAAGAATTTATATATAGGGCCTATATAAAACTATATACCTAATTAGAATTCTTTAAATTTTTAATATTTTTAGTATAAGCCCCTTTTACACCCCTTTTAGCACCCCTTCTAGCACCCCTTCTAGCACACCTTCTAGGCCTTCTAGGCTACACACATTTAGGTACCAACTAAGCATTTAGATACTAACTAAACGCTAGAAGGCTAAAAGCTAAGAAGGCGAAAGTAAAGACTATATACTTTCTAGCCTTCTAGCACCCCTTCTAACCCTTTAATACTATAAACTTCTAACCTTTTACCGTTCAGTTAGCATCTAAATACTTAGTTAGTACTCAAATACATGTAGACTAAATAGCGAAGGTAAAGGTAAAGGCAAAGGTAAAGGGGCGCTAGAAGGGGCGCTAAAAGGGGTGCTAGAAGGGGTATTAAAAGGGGTGCTAGAAGGGGCTTATACTAAAAGTATTGAAAATTAAAGAAGGAAATTATACTATAAAATCTCTTAATATTAACTTAAAAGGTACTTATAAATATAAGGGAGTTATTTAGAAAAATTAGTATTAGGTAAGCGGTTAATAGGAACTAGGTAAGTAGATATAATTGTTAGGTAAGTAGATATTAGCTCTATATAATATACTTTTATATATATAATATACTTTTATATATATAATATATTTATATTTATATAATATATTTTTATATATATAATATACTTTTATATATAATATTATTTTTAAATTTATATTAATTATTTTAAATATATTTTATTAATTAAAATTATAAAATATAATAAATTAATCTTTAAAATTAAATTAATTAATAAATATATTTAAAATTTATATATTTATTTATTAAAGTTATATTATAAGTTATATAATAAAATTAATTTTAAATAAAGTTTATTTTTAAATTATTTTAATTTTTAAAAGTAATTATTTTAGTTTAATATTAAGTAATAAATAAGAAAAATATATAAAAATAATATAATATTTTTTTAAAAGATTTACTATAAAATTTAACTTTAAATTTTTAATTATTTTATAAATATTTATTATATTATAAAATTATAATAAAATATCTTTTATATTAATATAAAATTATTTATTTTAATTTAATATTAAATAATAAATAATAATAATATATAAAAATTATATAATATATTCTTTTAAAAGTTTATTATAAAATTATAATTTTAAATTTTCTTTATTATTTTATAAATATTCTTCATCTTATAAGGATTATAATAATATATTATTTATATTTATATAAAATTAATTAAAGTTAATATTTATAATAATATAAATATAAAAAAGTAATAAAATCTAGTTAAACCCTAACCCTAGAATTTTATATTTATTTTATTTAAATTCCTTTAAAATTAAGGTTTATAAAACTATTTTCTTTATATTATACTATTTTTATTTAAGTAAGTTAGACTAGTTTAAGTATAATATTTTATTCTTCTTAAGTGTGTAGGGGTTTTGGCTGTGTAGGGGTTTTGGTACCTACTGCGCCAGCAGTGGGTTCCTCGGAGCGAGAGCGAACCCACGGGTATCATTCTCATTTAGTGGTTTAGAAAAACGTTCCGATAAGTTCAGCCCAAGTTCTGTGATCGGCACGGTACCTAGGTCAGCAGACTGGTAATTAGTAAGTGGTATATTGCGCCGCTGATATGGGCGAACGGGTCTGGTGTCGGGCATTAGCTGCCAACTAATACAAGGTTAAGTCATGACAATTTAATAGCCTTATTTGAAGTCTACCTAGAGGATGCTTTATAGAAGTCCTGATTATACTAACAGCGCGGGCCAGCACTTCAGGAAATACTCCCACAGGTTGATATCTAATATTTATGATATTATCAGCCTCACTCCTTCAGGGCATGAGTTCGGCAAGAACAGGCCTTTTTTTTTTTTTTTTTAGCGGCTGGCCGTATTTCACTGACATGTTTTGGCATGCCGCAAGCGCGGGCGTCAAACCAAGCACCGGGGCACGCTTCAAGACAGCCGTTGAGAAGATTGCGTTTCCTCCAAATGTCTATTCAGTCCGAGATCCCATTCTATCTAACAAAAAAAAAAAAAGTCCATCCCACTCCACTGGCAGTCAGACAACGCACCCTACTCCTCCAGATCCGCCCTCCTCGTCGTCATGCTCCTCCGGATCCGGTGGTCCTCCTCCTCCTCCCGGTGGAGGTGCTCGCCCGGCAGGCGCACGGCGTGGTCCAGGGCGACGGGCAGGCCGCGGTGCCGGCCGCGCAGCATGACGAGGCACAGCACGAGCTTGCTGCCGGTGTACCACGCGCCCGAGAAGCTGTACGCGTCCCAGGGGACCCCGACGGAGATGCCGACCGTCCCGTAGGCCGAGACGACCTCGAAGATGATGTTGAAGACGGAGAAGGTCACGGGGTCGCCGAGGAAGTGCGACGTCTCGATCGTGGCGATCACCAGGACCGCCAGCACCAGCCACCAGATGTCGTGGGCGAGCTGCCCACGCACCTGCTGGGTGATGAAGCTGATGCGGCCGTTGGCGTTGGCGCCGCCGCCGCCGCCGGATGATAGGCCCGGCGCGAGGGGGCTGTTCGGCCCGGGGCTGCTCGGGAAGTGCCTCGTGGGCGGTACGCCGACCCCGTTCATCGTGAACGTCCGCTGTAGGACCCGGCCGATGTCGGCGGCCGCGGTGGAGCGGCTCAGGCGGCGCATCAGGGGCGAGCCCAGCGACAAGACGCCGTCGCCGTTGGTGGGGCGCGGCTCGAGCTCCGGGCCGCCGGCCGCAAGCTCGGGGTCGGGGTCGGACGCCGAGTACTCATCGCCGCTGTAGATACCGAGGGATCGCTCCTCGTAGAGGTTGGAGTGGCGGATCGTGATCACTACTGGATACACGGAGATGTACATCATGATAACGTACAGTATTTGAAGGCCAATATAGACTTGAGAGATTGGCACGATATAGAATCCGCCCGACCGCACGGCTTTCAGAGATTTGGTCAGAATGGTGCCCGTCTTTCGGTGATAGCAGGGTGAGATACCTACCGAGGGCTTGGAACAGGCCGTCAATGATGCGAGACCCCGTAGGAATACTCGTGATAACTGTATTTCCGAGATTGAGTAGCTCAAAGGCCGCCCAGTCCACAGCATTTAACCAGGCGAGCATGAAGAACAGCCACCACGTGGGGCGGGAGGGGAAGAGATTTGTGTAAACCCGGCGAGGGTATTTCAGAATGAACTCGAGGGTGGCCTTTGTCGTTTCGCAGGAGTCCTCTGCGGTCACGGCCCTCAGGAGCTGGAGAACCGTCCATATGGCGAGGCGGAGAAAGAGTGGGTACGCAGTATTGCCGGCCAGGATCATCAACCCCATCGTGATGAGGACGAAGTAGGCTCCCTGGAATGGGATCATGTTGGCATCGAGGAGCGACATGCCCGAGTTGTTGAAGGCCGAGACGCCGTTGAAGACGCCCAGCCACCACGGATCTATGCCGTTCGCCCTTGCGGTGCTTGGCATGTTGAGGCTCATCCACGCCCCGAGCGCAACAGACCCCAGGCACTGCCAGAGGAAGAAGTAGGCCGGCACCACGAGGGCGAGGGCCTTCAGGGCGCGGTACTCGCACCCGCCCAGGTGTTCCCGCTCCTCGCTGGTGAGGTCGTGGAACTGGCCCTTGCGACCCGGGGCGCGGCTCCTGAGGAAATGCCGCACCGTGGGATGGCCGCCATCCTGCCAGTGGTCTGCGGATGCCTTGCTGGCAATGTTCCTCCGCTTGGGCCGGACCCCGTCGACCTCGGAGACCCCAGTCGATACGGCATCCCCGCCCTCTTGCTGCGGCGGCCGCGGCGTGTCGACGAAGACAATGTGTCCACCAGGACCGCCCGGGCCGGGCTCCGGCGCGGCCTTGGCCGGCTCGGGCGGAGGCTTGGCCGGCCCCACAGGACCCAGATCCGGCAAGGAGGACGCACGTCGACGCCGTGGTATCCGGGCATCGGCCTGCGACCTGTCCGGGTCGGGGTCTGAAGTCGACGGCTCCAGCCTCGCTGCACGGGTCCCGGTCGCCTGGAGGACCTTGTCTGGCGTCGGGACGGTCTTGGCCTTGCGGAACGAGAGGGCCCTGCGAAGCCTCGGCAGGCGGAGCGACGAGCTGCTGCCCCGTCGGCTGAGGCTGCGCATGCGCTCGGCACGCACGATGCTCTCGAAGCGCTTCTCGAAGACGTGCTTGCGCGCCAGCACCGTCCAGATGGAGACCCAGATGGTACTACCAAGCATGATGAGGAGAAAAAGCATCGCCTGCTGCCAGCTGGTCAACGTGCTGAGGTTGACCGTGTTCAGCCCGGCCTCGGTCATGGCAGACACCACGATGAACAGGCTGTCGGTGTAGCTGATGCTGAAGGCGGGCTCCGACGACCGCCAGAAGATGACGGAGCTGACGAGGCACACGATGATGAAGTAGGCATAGTGGATGGTGATGAAGTTCAATGGCGGCAAATACTTGCGGATCGAGAGGATCTCGGCCACCCGTGGATGGTCGTCGACAAAGTCATCCCAGCGTCTCATTCTGCGTACAGTGCCGGTGCAGTCGCATCTTCAGAGACAGGAGGAGGGCACAGGGACGGAAATTCGCGCTCGACTACCGAGTCGTAACGACCCAGGCAGCGAGTAATCTAAGCCTCATCCAGGAGGGTGGTCACGTGATTCCCCCAAGCGCCCTGCAGAGCGCAAGAATGAGGGAAGGCTTGGTGCATCACATGTTTTGGTGGTATTCCTAGAAAGGAATCCGAGTACATCATGTCATTGACAATGGGTATAATGTGTTAGAAGGTGTGCACCGATCCAGTCTTTGTGGTCCGCACTGTGAGGTAATAATAAGTGCTGACTACTGTACTACTTTCAGGTTGGAGCTGAGAGACCCCGACCAAGATATCTTAGCCCGTCAGGGATACGGTGCCTATTTCTGCTCCCCTGCATTGTTGTAACCCAAAACATGGCCTGGCCGCCCGCATGTAAAACACACAATGGCGGAAGGATGGGTATGTTCTACAGAGTACCAGTTGACCCGAAATAGCCACAGTAGCATTCGGACCGCGGACACTAGACTGACAAACACACCGCTGCAAAGAGACATCACACAAGCTGGGCATCCGGTTTGAGTGCAATCGTGCATAACACTATATATTATCTAAGACGTGCCAGGGCCGCGAAGATGATGTCGCTGTATTGCGCGTTCTGGCGCGGATAAAGCACGGTAGCAACATTGAAGTATGAAAAAGGTAGAGCCTATATTAAAGACCCAGGACCCGCTGCTGTTATCTTAATGTGGCGCTAGTTTTGTGATCCGTACATCCATTGTGTTAGAATTCCTCACAACAAACCAGCCTGAATCGTACGTACACTGGACCATTATTATCGTGCTCACATGTTGACTCGGGGAGAGAGTTTGTTAGCTCCCCCCTCCCCCTCCCGCCAACAAGCATGACCGAAGTACGGAGTATGACGAGGGCCACGGCCAAAATGCCCCAAACCACCCCTGCCAAATGGCCAGCATGCCAGAGGCGGAGGGCGGTGGCTGTGGTGGTGGGGCCGGCATGACGCGGGCCAGCCCAGCAAGCAGCATGACCATAATCCGCCGCCTGCTTGTCACCGTCACTGCCACTGCCACTGCAGTCCTCCCACCACCCCCCTCGTGCATGCAGTGTGTGAACAGCGCCCGCTGCCCGAAATGACTTGGCGTTAGGCTGTGGGAAGCGCGGCTAGCAGGATTTGGACCCACCCCATGACATTTCTGTACGACCACGCTTGAGGGCGCCCACACCCCCCCACCTCGTGCGCCGCCCTATCTATTAAAGCCGGCACGCATCAGCTTGTCGGCATGGCCTAACGTTAGCCGAACCTCATCTGGGGTTTGCTATCGTTGTACGAGTTCCGGCCCTGCTTTTCTGTCCTCCATTCTTGTTACCTTTTATTCCCCTTGGTTGGTCTTTTTTGTAACTATTTCGGAAATAGAGGCGAAATAAGAAAAAGAAAGAAGGAAAGAAGGAAGGAAAGAAGGAAGGAAAGAAGGAAAGAAACAACAACAACAATAGAGTCGAGGCAGTATCGGATACGAGATACTAACAGAGAGTGTTCCTGAGACTTTACAATGTTACTCAACGTCACCAACTTCAACGTTGTCATCAGCGTGGTCGGCGGCTGGCTGGTCCTGGTCGGCGCCTTCTCCCACCTCCTCAGCGACAAGCTCTACCTGTCCGAAGCCCGTAAGCCCGCCTGATCTCGTCCCGGCGGAGTTGAAGAAGCCCCCATTGACGCGCGTCTCTAACTACATAGTTGTCTCGCTCGTGGGCGGCGTCACGTTCACCCACGTGGCAAAGCTGTTCAAGCCCGGGGACTACGTCGTCTCGGAGGACGCCGTCGCCTCGGTGACGCTCGACCTGAGCCGCCTCGTGCTGGGCGTGCAGCTCGTGCTCGAGGGCATCCGGCTGCCGGGCCGGTACCTGCGCACCGAGTGGCGGCCCCTCGCCGTGCTGCTCGGGCCCGGCATGCTGGGCATGTGGGCGAGCAGCAGCGCCGTCATCTGGCTGCTGGTGCCGGGCCTGCCGCCCCTGCACGCCCTCGCCGTCGCGGCCTGCATCACCCCGACCGACCCGGTCCTCTCGGGCGCCATCGTCAAGGGCCGCTTCGCCGAGGAGAAGGTGCCCGAGCCCCTGCGGCACGTCATCGTCGCCGAGTCGGGCGCCAACGACGGCCTCGGCTACCCGTTCCTCTTCGCCGCCCTGTTCCTCATCAAGTACGCCGCCGCCGGGTCCGACGCCCGCGACGGCGGCGCAGCGACGGCCCTGCGGCTCTTCCTGGGCCAGACGTGCGTCTACGTCGTGCTGCTGAGCGTCCTGTACGGCGCCGCCGTGGGCCTGCTCGCCCGCGGGCTGCTCGCGTGGGCCGAGCGCCACAAGCTCGTCGCCCGCGAGCACTTCCTCCTCTTCCCCGTCGGCCTGGCCATCTTCGTCGTCGGGACCTGCGGCGCCGCCGGCAGCGACGACGTCCTGGCGTGCTTCATCGCGGGCAACGCCTTCACCTGGGACGGCTGGTTCCGCGCCAAGACGCTCGACGACCCGCTGCAGCCGTCCGTCGAGGCCCTGCTCAACCTGGGCGTCTTCATGTGGTTCGGCGCCGTCTGCCCGTGGGGCAGCTTCTGGTCGTCCGGCCTGGTCCCGCCGGCCCGCCTGTTTGCCCTCGGCGCCCTCGTCCTGCTCCTGCGCCGCATCCCCACCGTCCTCTGCCTGCATCCTTTCGTCCGCCAGATCCAGGGGCGCCAGGACGCCATGTTTGTCGGCTTCTTTGGGCCCATCGGCGTCTCCGCCATCTTCTACCTCTACGTCGGCCTCGAGTTCCTGGAGACGGTGTCCGCCGGCGACGGGCAGCGCGAGGATGCCAAGCAGCTGGGCGACACTATGATGGTCGTCATATGGTTCCTGGTCATCTGCAGCATCGTGCGTGTCCCCGTGCTGCGAATCCCGTTGCTGTTCAGTTTCTATCGTTTCCAAACTGACAATGAGCAGGTTGTTCACGGCTTAAGCGTGCCCTTGGCCAAGCTGGCATCTCATCTGTCGGGCCTGGTCCGACCCCGTCGCGTTGCATTGCCTACTTGATAGCCGCTATCTCCCTGCCAGGACTACCTATCTTGAGAGTGATGATGGACTTCTTCATAGCAGCATCCGACAGCCCGTTGAGTGCATCTATGACAAGCTGGCCCATGTTGCCTGCAACATGCAGTGTCACTTTGTACCTACATTTGTGCCAATGGCTGCAGGTGATACTGGAATATACCAGGGTACCTAGGTAATGCAACTACCTCAGATAACACGCAGTCAACCTTAACCGTGGAAGACGCACGCACACATATTACCCGCGAGATCCATAACAGACTCGATTCATCAGCCGGAGAGTGGCCACCCTAAAACTCCCTAGACAGTGGTGCCTCCGTATAATAATATTCTACATGCTGCAGTCATGTGTTTTTTGTTACCACCCAGCCTCAGGGTCACTGCTGTCCGCAGTAGTTACCCTTGGCTCCTCGAATCAATAGTAGCAGGTAGCCAGTCACCCCGGCCAACATCTTCCACATAACCCGCCCGTGCGCCGCCCAGGCTGGGACGATCAACACCTCTCCCTCAGGGTGGCCTCCGAGTTCATCTCGGACAACGTCTGGTGGCCCCCCGCCTTCTTCACGGGGGCCATCTGGATCTTGTGGTCGGACCGCACCCTCTCGCCCAGCTTGTGCTTCCGGATCAGGAAGCTCGCGAACATGCCCGCGCCCATCACGGCCGCGACCTCGATGAAGACGTGCGTCATGGCCGTCTCGAAGACGCCCACCGTGGCCTCCCTCTCCCTCCCGGTCATGGTGCCCACGCTGTCGATGAGCTGGGAGATGCTCATCTCGCCCGCGGGGCCCGTGTTGAGCTTCTGCAGCTCGTCGAAGCACACCAGCCCGCTAATGCTGATGCCCATGCTGAGCCCGATGGTGCGGATGAACGAGTACGCCGAGGCCGACATGGCGATGTCCGAGTTGTCGGACGTGTCGTCGAAGGAGGCGTGGATCGGGATCAGCAGCGAGTTGAAGTTCGGCGCCACGCCGACCCCGGCTATCAGGAGCAATACCACGGTGACGGCGGTCGACGTGGACTTGTTGAGGTGGACGAGCATGCCGCAGCCCATGGTGGCGACGAGGAACGAGCCGCAGATGAGTGTTTGGTATTTCTTGGTCGCCGTTATGAGGTACCCTGCCCCGGTGCTCGCGATCCCAAACATGAGCACAAGGGGCAACATGCTGATGCCGCTCTGGGAAGGGGTCTGGCCCTTCACTGCCTGGAAGTAAATCGGAAGGTAGTAGTTGAGGCCCATGTATCCCACGGCGTGGAAGAATGCTGCAAGGTACGCTCCGATCCTGGTGGGGTGTGTGAAGAAGCGCAGCGGGATGACTGGCTTGGTGGCCTTGGTCTCGGCATAGATGAAGAACCCCAGAGACAGGGCCGCTGTGACCAATGAGATCAAGACCTGGGGCGCGCTCCACGACGTGCCGAGAGAGGTCCACTCAAAGGCGAGCAGGACCAGGACTGTCGCCGTCCCGATGGCGAGGATGCCGACAATGTCCAGCGTCCTGATGGCCTCGCGGATGCTCTTTGATGGTCGTGACATATTAAGGAACAAGACTGTGATTATGAGACAGACAAGGCATATGGGAAGATTGATGAGAAAACACTGTCCAGCCAAGTTAGCCTCTCCCCGCCCAGCCTACAATTTCCATGGGGTGATTGATCAATGAACAGCAGACTCACCCATCGCCAACTGATATGATCAGCCAGCACGCCCGACAGCACCGGCCCCAGCGCCGACGCAACAGCCCAGGTGGCGCCGATGAAGCCCTGGTACTTGCCCCTCTTGCGCGTGCCGACCAGGTCCCCGATGAGGATGATGACCAGCGCCGTGATGCCGCCGGCGCCCACGCCCTGGACCATGCGGGAGGCGATCAGCATCGAGACGTCCTGCGACGCGCCGCACAGGGCCGACCCGGCCATGAAGACGGCGATGGCGGCCACAAAGGCCCACTTGCGCCCAAAGACCTCGGAGGCCTGCCCAAACAGCGGCATCACCACGGCCTGCGTCAGCGCGTACCCGGAGCCGACCCACGTGTAGCCCGAGTTGGACGAGGCCCCGCCCAGGCTCGTCATGATCTTGGGCAGGGCGGTGGACACGATGGTCTGGTCCAGCGCCGGGAGGAACAGGGTGAAGAACAGGCTGCCGACCAGGATTATGTGGCGGATCCTGGTGAGGCCGTGGCGGGGCTGGGTGCTGTCGTCGTCCTTGGGGGGCTCCGTGGCTGTGAGGGTGCCACTTGTGCTCTCCGAGTCGGTGTGATAATGAGTGTCATGATGATGTTGTGCTTGTGCGGCGTGGGCTGTTTGTGCAGCGCGGGGTGGGCGGCGAGGTTCGTTCATGTTCGTGTGGTGGTGGTGGTGGTGGTATAAGTGAACGTTCCCTCAGTGCTGCTTGAGGTTGTCGTGAAGTTATCGTGATGTTGTCGTGATGAGATGCGTTAGGGTAGGCAGCCTGTCAGTCCTAGGATATAGGGCCTTCCTTGGTGTGGAGTGTGGAGTGGGGTGGGGGTGATGTGGGCCTTGAAGTGTGGTTGATCTCCGTCGTGGTTGATCTTGCCAAGCCCATAGGTTGATCGTTGACATCCAGACCAGACGGTGGGCTGGGATGGTTGTTTCTATGGCTTTGTTTGCCAGGGGGACCGAAGGGAGAGAGTCACCGACAGGGCGAGGAAGGGGCTACTGGCAGCACTAGCCGCCACGAAGCTTGATCGAGATGCTTTTGTACTGCCCGCTGTGAAGATCCTGTCTCATAGTTTTGATACATTCCAACTCACGGACACATTCCCCCTCCTGCTGTTGGCATCTCACTCACTCTCTATCTCTCTCTCTCTATATCTCAGTTAATCCACCCAAACAGGGCACTGTACCCGAGACGATTGGCTGGTCAAAATAAAAAATGGGGTTTGCAGCCGAACAAAGGCAGAGTCTGTTGGAGTCTGCCGGTGAATGCTGATCCACAAACGTACCTAATCAAGCCCAGACGGTCTGCTCCGTGCTCCGTCGGCTGATAGCAACACAGCCGAGGTACATGATAAAATGTAACTCCGTGTCCAGCGCAAGAACAATCCGCATCAAGGTCGGTGGCACGCACGGTTCGGCCCCCCGCCCACAGGCAAGAGGCCGGCTGGCGCCCCTCCTTCAATGTTCTGATCAATAATGATGGTTGGCAGCATTTCTGCAGGCCTGCCACTCCATACTCCCACATCTTTCTCTTTCTCTATTTGACCGGTGATCAGCATTCATTCTTCTATCACAAGACGCCCGATCGCCGTTGAATTTGCCTGGGCAGTAACCGAGACAGGATGCGACTGACGGGCGTTTGTGGCGGTCGAGCTATTCACTGGCGAACCAAGGCAAAACCAGGTCCTGTGAGGCAGGCGTCAACCCGTCGAGGTATAATCAACCTGACACTACAGTCACGGGTGCCTTATTGGCTTCACGAACGAACCCCATATAAAAGACGTTGCACAGTGTGACAGCCTCGGCTTCGAGGGGTCGAATCGCTTGCCCGAAACATATTTTTGGCACCGTGTGACGCTACTTGTGTCCAGAAAAGAAAAAGAGAGATACAGCTTGAGAACGGTGAAAGAAAGAAAAAAAGTGATCTCGAGGATTGGTGATGGGCGGAGGGGTAGGGGGGCTTGGGTTCCAAGGTTACGCCACTGACTCACTTTGTTTTCTTCTGAGTGGTGCCGGGCAGGTGTGTGAAGCCATCCACAGTGTGCGCCGTAATACGCCTAAATAGGGACTGGGGGAGGACACCCCAACTGCCCAAGCAAGTCGTTCATGATGCATTGGCGATCAAGCAGCATCCTTTCATGTCATATTTTACCCCTGTCGATTAGGACGCGAACCTGCAGCCACCCGCATGCTTCTCCATCCCACCCGTTCACTTCTCACCCGCTTGCCGCTCCCACCCTCCCCCCACATCATCCATCCACCAACAGATATGCGAGGACCGATCTCGGCGGTGGAACAAGGCGGTGGGGGGGGGGGTACAAGGTAGGGCAACTGGCGCTGACGGGCTGGCATGAAATGCTCGCAGGTTTGGCAGCGCGGTATCCCACCGTGACAGTCCATCAAAAGGAATTAAACAGGTGCGTCCGGAGCGGGTGCTGCAGATCTGGCAAGTATCACGGCATTCCCCTCGAACTTGTGCATTGCATAGCATCTCCGCTTTCTTTTTTGTCTCCTCCCACCTTCTTCTTCCTCTTCCTTTTGAGGACTTGGCGCGACGGGGGGGTCCAAAAGCAACCCGACCATCGCCCGATCAAGCAACGTCGTCTCGCCTCGATGCATCCGTGCGAGCACACTCTCAAGTCATCCGGTTGATAAGCGAGCTGCAGTTCGCGGATCTCGCTTCTTCTTTGTTCTCAATTTTTTTCCCCCCTTCCGCCCACTCTACATCCGTAGGCCTCGTACTACACTGCGTCTCGGCCGAGGCCGCCCCACGGGGGGGTTGGTTGGTCTGGCCCTGCGTCAGAAAGGACCTCGCATTTGACCCCATCACCTGATCTGTCTCAGGTTGCACTCTGGGGGAGAAGGGGGGGACCGGGCCCCGCTGCCACTGGGGGAGCGCGGCCAAAGCCGTGTCGGACGATGCAGCCCTCCGAGACATTTGATGCTACTGGACCGCCTCCGGAATCTTCTTTTTTCTTTTTCGAAGGGGACCTGAGGACCTTTGGCGCGGTTTTCCGTGCCCTGGTATGCATGACGAAACGAACAGCCTCGACTCTGCTCCACCACGACACACAGACGTTTACAATATGCGCACTTGATAGCGCCCAACCAAGCAGGGAGTAATTCTTATAAGATCGCACAACTCATCATGACAACTCAATTCTCACGTATCCACGCAACCCCGTAATAAGAAACACAACCTATCCATCAGAAACAGCATCTGGGCAAGAAGCACGCACGAAGACAATGTCTCACAGCTCGGCAAGGCTTACTCGCCCGGATATCCTCTGTGTTGCCATGGCTACATGCTTCCAAAACCCTGAGCAATCACCCTCGAGTTGACCAAGTCAACCCTTGAAACCTTGACTCACTCACCTCACCTGGGCACTCAACTCAACTCACCCGCAGCCTTGGTCGCAACCGAGCGAGCGAGCGAGGGTCCGGCCCCAGCCTTGGAGGTAAGCCAGCGCATCCGAGTCGTGCCCGCCGCCCCTATCGACTCGTAAATACGCACACATTGACACTCACCAACCCTTACCCACCCCGGCGCCCGGTCGTACAACCTGACAGCCAGCCAGCCCGCGCCTCCTTCTCGAGGACCACCGGGACGAGTCTTGTCCTCGTCCTCCTCTGTCTGCCCCACGCGACCGCCTCCCCCAGCATCTTGGCCCCAATACCCCTTACTTGGGGCGTCCCGGCTGACAAGGAAAGCGGCTCAGCAGTGGGACGGCGGCGTGGTGTTCGTCCATTTGTGCCCCCACCTTCCAGATGCATCCTGCCTGCACGCCAGGCTAGGTGACCGGTGTCGTTGCTGCCGCTGCCGCCGCCACCAGCGGTCGGCGACATGAGCGCCGCGTGACCAGCGACGTTCGCCGTCCTCGGGGGCACCTGGGTCGTGTCAGCGGGCTCCCGCCGGAGCACGGCTACGATGGCTTGGGAAGTCGTTGAGGCACGAGGGCTCGTCTGGTGGGTACTAGTAGCCTGTGTCTGTGTGTACGGCCGTTGAGATGTCGCGAGGGCATTGAGGTGTCAGAGGGCTGGTGGAGCTGGAGCAGTCCGACCTCAATCTTCGCTCCAAATGTTCCGGTGCCGAGGTCACGATCCTCTCTTTACCACATGCAGCGAGGCACCCCAGCCCCTTTACTATGCTTTGCTGCAAACATCTTGATGTCTTCAGTCACATGGACGGTGATAACAACATCAGCTCAAAGCCGTTCTCGATGGCTCGACGCAGCCAGTCCACCAGCGTGCCTGTCATGATGCAATGCAAAGCTCCCGCGCCCCAGGGCCGGGGCCCGGCGCAGAGTACTGTAGCGCAGCAGAAGCAGCAGGCAGTCAGTCCTGCGCTGCGCGGTTAATCTCTGCCCATCTAAGACATGCTGGTCGCCGAGGCCGAGCCAGCCCGAAGCCGCAACGCTGCAATGCAAGCGGCCTCTGTCTCACCTGCCTGGGTGGGTGCCCAGGTGTCCTGCGCTAGCCCCCCTTTTCCTGCAAGCTGCAAGCTGCAGAGTAGTAAAAAAAAGAGGGAAAGCGAATGGCTTCTTTTTCGTCGATCTGCGCCGCGCATGCTTGCATCTGGCTGGCTGGGACGGGGGGCGAAAAAGCCGGCTTGGCCGGCCCGCGGGCGCAGGACTGGTGGTGGTGTGGTTCAACCTCGGTGTGGGCGTCCTGTGCACCTTTTTTTTTTAAAGGGTAACTTCCGCTGTGGCCGGTTTCTGAAAGATGGTCCTCGTTATGATTAATTATCTGTGTTACGGGTCCATTCGGCAGGGTGCTGTATGCAGGCGGGCGTGTGCGCGCGTGTGTGACTGCACGTAGCCGTCCGACACATGTTCGTGGCTGGCCTGTCAGGCACGGATGCCATGCTGCGAGCGTGTGTACTTTGCTCGGGTGTGTTTTCCTTGAACTTGGTGTGAGGGTGCGGATTTGGATGGATGTTGTATCTTCTGGGAAATGGGTTCGTGTGAGGTTGTGATCACGCATGGAGGGATGATGTCCCACTAGTTCAGAATGCGATGCTGTTGTGATTCAAAGACTACGCGCCTCTGTCAAGCGTGGCGTCAATTTTGCACGAATAGTGCAGTGGCATTTATTTTTGACGACAGGTGCTCGTGCTTTCGTCTCTGGTCGTGGTACTTATACTGATGGTGCCAGGACCGGATGACAGGTTAGATAGATAGGGCCTAGACAATCGCTTTTGTGTTTTCTTGTCACCTTGGGTCAAATCAAATTCTCAAATAATAGTGCCTAGAGACGGTTAAATTTGCGGGAAGAATGAACTTGTGAGCCGTATAAGACGGTACCATAGAAGTTTTCACGAGGCAAATCGTTAACTGGGTTTACATCTACATGGCAGCCCCTCTCTGTTTATTCCATTTCAAAAAGTGCCCAAAATTCATCACGTACAGCAGCCCGAAGCCTCGTCCTCAGTCTTCGACCCAGCTTCCAGGCATGCACAGTGGCCCCGGCTCCATTTCCCTCCAAAAGTCGCCAACCAATTCATCTGTCGGCTCCGACCACCACAGCTTCCAGTCCTCCACCTGGCTACCATGGTTGAAATTGATCAATCTTATTTCAAACAGACCATTCTTGGTCCCGTCAATCCATCTTTCATCCCACACGTCTTGGAAAATTCTAAAATCACAACCTTCTTCGTCCATAAGCCTTCGCTTTTCATAATTTCCATATTCTAGCAGATCAATACCGCATTCTTGAAGCATTTGAAGCCAAATTTGTGCAGCTCTTGCGCAATTGCTAAGCCGCGAATCCATCTTGTGATGTCTAGTGCTCTTCCGTTCCGAGCTCAAGCCGGGAAGCGCCATGAACGATGGCAAGAATAAGTTTGTGAATGGTGTAACTGTACGGAATAGCTGTAAACTCCAACCAACATTACCAATTTTCGTGTAGGGGTGTTCTTCTGGCATCATCGCGGATTTTTTGAGTCGACTTATTACATCCAAGATCACGATATGCCACTTGTTTGTAGTGTCTGGATCGAGCCACACCGTTTGGCCTACCCCGTAAGCGAGGCTGTCCATCATCTCTACAACGGTTAGAGTATCCGCTGCTTCAAGGCATAACGACTGACAGAGATGATGAAAGACGTCATGAGAAAGCACAGGTGACTTCCAAGCAAAGACACGCACAAGCGTTGTCGCCAAGTTCAATCGTTTGCCTAGAAAGCCGGCTTCATAGAACTCGTTGTGAGGCCAGAGTCGACTGACAAGATCAGTGAAAGAGTTTAGATCACCGCCACAGCCATGTAGGGCTTTGATTCGAGCTGTATCGCTCAGCTCATCGTGCTGGAGAAAATGTTCAAATTGGGGTATTCTTTCTGCGCGTATAGGCTGCCACCCTATAAGGTCGGAAGTATTGGCTTCCTCTGAATCGTAGTCGAGCAAGTATCTAGCGACTTGCCAAGCTCCATGTAATAGCGCACGCTATTCTGTTGTCAGCAACTCTGCAGGATTATTTCAGCTGTGCGAGGCATTCCGCAGGGCGCGTGTTACAGGTCTATTCCAAGGTTCACTCACCTCAAGCAGCCCTGACTCACTCTCATGGCCGAACAATATGTGGTCTAGTGGACCACACTTTCTGTCTTGAAAAAGGCGAAACATCATATTGAGATCGTCAAGTCTTAATGCGTCTTCGATCAGCCTGAATACGTCGGAGTCGCGCCGAATGTAGCTGTACACGTTGAGTGAGCAAGCCCAGCCGGCATAACTTCGAGAGAATACCGCATCGAATACAGAGTTACACAGCCACCTGGGCATCTGGATTTCAATTCGCAGAAGACCTTCCTGGCTCGAGGTACTCGTCCCACAATCCGCTTGCTTCGATGCCGCGCGAACTCGAAGCAGCCCCGTTATCTTGGCAAGCCCCATTTGCAAGTATTGTGATCTTGCGAAGCTGGGTGTCCGGCTATTTGACGCCCGACGCCGTGGGGGTTTGGAGGCAACTTGCAATTGGGCCAATGCTTGGTCGTGGGTCGTCTCTGCATGACCGAGGGCGGCGGACTGGGGGCACTGAGAAAGGGCGGACATGAGCTGAGAAACGATGGCCTCGGGCTGCGTTCGTTGCAACGCGCTGGGAAGATGACCCTTGGATTAGTAGGTGCCGTTGGTCCGTCATCCATTAATACGGGCAGCATGCTGGCTCTTACACAATGTAACTACTCTGCGCCAATGTCAAAAGCTGGATAGTATTTTGAAGGCGCATTTCGTATTGCGCCAGTGTGCCCTTCTTCAGCACAATCTTCACCATGGCTGACTTTCGCCTCAGGCCACCACGGTTCGTATTGACCTGGGACATGAGGTCCGTGACGAGGCCCTGGAGTTGCTCACTGGCTGCTTGGCATGCGGCGAGTGCGTTCTGCATCGCCTGCTGGAGATGTGCGTTTGCGGAAGCAGATGGTAGTGGCGCATTCGTTCCCGCAGCATCGCCTCCGTCTGGGGTCGTCTCGCAGAGGACTGGAGCAAGAAGCTGGAGACGATTGAGCATGTAACCGAGGTTGTCGGGTGCGTCTTTGACCTCGTCTAGCAGAGCCTTTAACTTGAGACTGTTTGTTACGATGGACCCGGCGACTTGCGCGACGCTGAGGCCGGAGGCGACAAGACCGAGGACTTCGGCCATCTTAGCTCGTTCGCAACTGGTCTGTGGATGAAATGCTTCTTCCGTCGGTTCTCGTACTTGGATTCTTGCATGAGGCGTAGGAATGATTTTTTTTTTTTTTTTGGAAAGGGGCAGAGAGTCAGTTGGACCCAAAACAAGATCGGGCGGTTTTGTCAACTTCCCCGCTTCGAAATGCACTCAGCCTCAGTGTGTAACTGTGGCCCCAATAAAATGACAAGATGCACCTCCATCATGCATGTCAGCAATGCGCATGTCGTGGCGGCGGCGGAGCTGCTGGTGCTTGACCAGTGACCACTCAGCGGGGCAGAAATTTAGAAAGAAAGAAGTGCACCACCATAAGATCAAGTTCTGGTAAGGCATATCGGATACATTCTGACGAGGCGAGGTGGTTATGTGACTGGGGAGTTCTGTGGCACTAAAGATGTGGGAAACATGCTTGCCTTCAGGAAGCGACAGGGAGCGTCATTGGTAAGTTCACACTTAAGTATGGAAATGGTCATACATCCTTATAAGCTCTGCCCGGACGTTTGGTACGCAGGAAAAGCATCTTCAAACTTGGTATGGCACAGGCTCCTGTGAGAAAACCTCCTGTATGGTGAACAACTTCCTGGAGGACGACAGCTAGACCCCATAGTCGATGCTCGTGGTCCGTATCATTTAAGGGACAACACACGCACCTTCTTGATCCTAGTTCATAACCTCCAGGGCTCTGAGCGGATAACTTTGCAGAAGACGAAGCAGAATGACTCATTGTGAAATCTTGAAGCCAGTTCCGGAAGCTACAAGGGCGGTGGCATGACATCATTTTGCCTCCTAGGGCTTGCCATGTTTGAAAGATTTGACGCGTCGTTCCTTCCTGCGGTGTTGAAAACAAGGTCGCAAACAACTTCACCTTTCGACCAAAGCCTCCACGTCCTGGACAGCTGGTGAAATGTTATCACTGACTACATCACCAACCGCAATCACAATAACAAGCATCGTACTTTAAACTCACGTGAGCACTGTGACCAGCGTGTCAACGCCCATCCCGTTAAACCAGGGTTATAAATTTATTCCTTAATTTCTTAATCTAACTAAGTTAATCTTTAATCTATTAGTCTTTAATTAGACTATAATTAAAATAAATTAGTCTTTAATTACTTAATTATACTAAATAATTAAAATTAAAAGATTAAAATTAAATTAAAAAAAGATTAAAAGATTAAAAGAAAAATAGAGCTTTTCTATAATATATAGGTTTTTTTCTAAATTTAGTAATTTATAGGTTTTAATAAAAATTAAACTTAAATTTATAATTTATATAATTATAGAAATTATTTATAAAATTTATAAAAGGATTTATTTAACTATACTATATATATTAATTAATTAATAATTATATATATTTTTAACCCTTTATAAAATAAATTAAAAATAACTTATAACCTATTTAAGCTTATACCCCCTCTTTCCCTTATTTTTAACTTAACTATTTATATTAATTATTTTATAATTAAATTAATATAAATTTAAAAATATAATAAAAATATATTTAAATATTTTTTATTTTATATTTTATTAATAAAATTATTAAAAATATATTAAATAGTATAAAAGTTATATTTTAAATAATATATAATAATTTTAATAATATATTAAAATTATTATTTTAAAAACTTAAAAGTTTTTTAAATTCTTTATATATATATAAAGATACTTTATAAATATATATTATATTTAAAAGTAAAATCTATCCTATAAAAGTAATAATTTAAATAAAATATTTTAATAAATTAAATTAATATAATATATTCTTTAAATAAAGAAAATAAATTATAAATATTTAAAATTAAATATAATAAAATAATATTTATATATAAAAATATATTTTAAAGTTAATAAAAATATTTTTAAATTTATATAGAATACTTTAATATTTAATACTTTAAAATATTTTATTTTTAGTTTTAACTATTTAGTTTAGGCCTTTAACTACTTAGTTTAGGCCTTTAACTACCTAATTTAAACCCTTAACTATCTAATTTAAGCCCTTAACTATCTAATTTAGGCCCCTAACTATCTAGTTTAAGCCTTAATATTTTTAAATTAAAGTTTTAATTATTTAAATTTAACTTTTAATTATTTAATAAAATAATTTAAATATTTTTAAAAAATATTATAAAAATATAATAATATATAAAAGATTATTTAAAAATTAATATAAATATTTATAAAATACTTTATTATAATATTTAAAATAATAATTTAATTTTATTTTTAAAAAAAGAATTACTTAAATATAAAACCTTTATATATTAAATTTCTAATATTATAAAATTTACTACTATATTATAATATTATAATATAATATTTTATTATTAAAATATTATATATTATAATAATTATTCTTTTAAATTTTATTAAAAATAAAGTTAAACTAATAAATTATTTATTATAAAAATAGTTTAATAAATTATTTATAATAAATAGATTTTATTTACTAAAATATTAAATAAAGAGTTTAATTATTTAAATATTTTTTTATTTTTCTATATATATAGCTCTTTTCTCCCTTTAAATTTTTTTATTTTTACCTCTTTATATAAACCTTCTACTATTTTCATTATTATATAAAACCTTTACTTTATTAAAAGATTTATTTATTTATTTTAAATAAATATATCTTTATTTTATTTCCTTTTCTCCTATTATAAAGTCCTTTATATTCTTTCTTTTAAAAATAATTTATAATTTATTTTAAAAATAAATATAATAGTATTAATTATATACTACTCCCTTTTAAAAAATATATATTTATATTTTTAAAATAATTTATTTACTTAAACTCTTCTATATATTAAAAAAATATAAATTAATAGATTTTAATATTTTATACTTAATAAGTTATTTTCTTTTAATAAAAAATAAAATTATATATAAATATTACTTTATAAATTTTATTTATATATAATTATATTTATATTAAATTATAATTAGTTAAAAATAATAAAAGTTATTTTTAAATTAGTTTTATAATAAAAGTATATTTAATTATATTTTTAAAATACCTAATTATATAATTAATATATAAAATAGTTTTTAATTTTTTTAAAATTAAATTTTTATTTAATTTTTAATTAATTAATTTTATAAATACTTTTATAAAAAAGATATTTTAAAGAGTTTTAAGCTTTAAATTATACTTATTATTATAAAAAGTTCATTTAGAAATTCCTTTTAATAAAAAAGTAAAAATAAAAATAAAAATAAGTAAAATATTTTAAAAATATTTTTATTAATATATTAATATTTTTAAAAATTATATTTTATAATTTTTTAATATTCTAATTAAATAAATTAAAATTAATTTTATAAATATAAATATTTATAATAAAATTTTAAATTTCATTATTAAAAATAATTTACTTTTTAGTATATTAAATTTAAAATTTTTAAAAATTATTATTTTATTTAAATTTATATATATAAATATTTTTAATATTTTAATTAATTAAACCTTTATTAATATATATATATAAAGTTATATTTCTTATTAATTATTTAAAATTAAAAATATTTTAATAAATACTTTTAATAAAGACTTTATAAATTTAAATTTAAACTTAAAAGAAAATATTATTAATTATAATAAATCTTTTTTACTTTTAATATTTAAATTTTTAAGGTAAATATAGTTTATATAGAAATAATTATTTTATATATTAATTTAGAAATTTTAATTAATTTATAAATTAATTAATTTTTAAATTAAAAATAGGTATATTAATTTTATTTTTAAAAAATTTTAAAAATTTATTTAAAGTTATTTAAATATAACTTTAAATAGTATTTTTAGGTATTTAATATTATATATATATATATTTATTTAATAACTAATTTTATTATAATTTTATTTAAAATAATATAATAAATAATAATATATTTTTATTAAAATTTAAAAAAATATAATTTTAATTTAAATTTTAATTTTAATAATAATATTTATTATATAGTATATATTATTAATTTAATAATATAAAATATTTTAAAAATTATTTATTAAATAAAAAATTAATAAATATATTTTAAATATTTTATAAATCTATAAGTTATTATATTAGAGTTTATTAAAATAATAAATAATTTTATTAATATTATTAATATTTAATATTAATTTTAATAAATATTATTATTTAAGTTTAATAAATAATAATATTAATTTAATATAATATTAAAATTAATAGATTTTTAATAAAAGTATTAAAAGTATATATAAAATAAATCTTTAAAAGAAATTTTAAAAATTTATATATCTTTAAGTAAGTAAAAATATTTTAAATAATATTTTATATTAATTTTAATTTAAATACCTTTATTAAGTAGAATTCTATATATTTTATATTAAAAACTTTTTATAATTAAAAGAGCCTTTAATATATATACAAAGAAATATATTTAATATTAAGTTTAGAAATATAGTTTTTAAATTAGAAATATATATTTTAACTTAAATTAATAAGATATTTAAGGTATTTTAAAACCTTTTATTAAACTTTAAGGGTAATTATATATAATTATTTTTAAAAATTATTATATATTTATATAATATATAATAATTTAAAAACTTTAATAAAAAATTTAAAAAAGTTAAAAGAGATTTTTTAATAAATAATTTTATTTAATTTATATTATAATTATATATTAATTTATTTAAAAAACTATTTTTAAATTTATAAAAGTTATTAAAGTTAACTTAAATAAATTAAAGAAATACTTTTATATTAATTAATTAAAGTTAATATAAAACGTTATAAATTTTTATATTAATTTTAATTTTAAATTTAAAATATAAAATATTTTATTTTTAAAAAAATAAATTATTAGACTTTTATTTTTTATAAAAGTTAATATATCATTTATTTTAAAAGATAAGTTTAATAAATAAGTTTAAAATTAATTTTTATTTATATATTTATTAATATTTTATAAAGTTAAAATAAAATTAATTTCTTTTAATAAAAATATATATAATATTTTATTTATAAATTTATCTTAAAATATTCTTAATTTTAATAATAAATTTTATATTAAATCTTTAATAAATATTAAAGGTAAATATAATAT